TTTGATTTAGGAGGTACAAGTTTCCATGTCTAGTTTTTCAATACTGCATCAAATTCCCGATTCATTGCCTTTCACCAATGCTCATGTTTGGCAATTCCAAGTAGTAAGAAGGTTCGATGACTAAATAATCGATTGTTGCTACTAACGCCCGAGGTAGGCGGTATCAAATAGATGCATCTATAGGTTGCTTATGTTTATAAATGTTGTGGAGCATGTGACCATGCTGTGAGTATTGGTAGTTAAAATAGCTGGCACTGAAGCAGTGTTCTCCAGAGTTGGTTCTTGTGATTTAGACATAGCAACATCAGTCTCAATAGGAAGAGATGAAGGTTCCTCAACCTGCATAGGTGACGACTGTGATGGTGCTGGATCAATATACTGATATCATGTTGGTACATGTTGCAAATTACTTGCAGAATTGGTTAGAGGATCCAATAGAATAGATTGATGAATATTAAGAATGACGGGGATGGTAACCAATTGGTTGGGAGGAGGTGGGGATTTAGTGCTAATATAAGGAAAGAAATTTTTATCAAAAATAACATGATGAGACGCATATATTTTTCTAGTTACAAGGTCTAAACATTTGTATCCATGATGATTAAGAATGTAGCCAATAAATATGCAAGTTTTTGAACGAAAATCAATCTTATGAGAATTATAAGGATGTAAATATGGCCAGCAAGCACATCCAAAAGTTTTAAAGAAATTATATTTCGGTTTATATTTGTAAACTACTTCGTATGGGGATTTATTTTGTAAGATTGGTGTTGGCAGGTGATTAATAATATATGTTGCAGTTAAAAATGCATCCTCCCAAAATGATTGAAGTAAGTTAGAGTGTAAAGGAAAGCTAAACCAATCTCAACTATCTGTTCGTGTCAACGTTCAATAGCACCTATTGTTGGTGAATGTGTGGACATGAAACACGATGCTGAATTCCAATTTTTTAAAATAATTGGAAAGACGACTATATTCACCTTCCCAGTTAGATTGAATGGCTTTGATTTTACGCTCAAAATGACGTTCAACATAAGTTTGAAATTGAAGAAAAATAGATTCAACGTCAGACTTTAATTTAAGAGGAGATAATCATAATTTAGTGCAATCATCCAAGAAACTTACATAGTACCTTAGACAGTGGTAGAAAGAACTGATGCTGGTCCCCAAACATCGGTATAAATTAAATCCAAAGGAGAGAGAGAAGAAGAATGATTGTTTTTAAATGGTAAGGTGTAGGTACGAGCATTTTGACAATCTGGATACACATGTTGTCTCTTATTTTCAACTAGAAGGGAAAATTGAGCAAATGTTTATCTGATGACTAATGGTGATGCATGACCAAGTCTTTTGTGCCAAAGAGAATAAGGAACTCGAGTGGTAGAAAAGGAGCATGGCTAGATAGATTTATTAATCTTCGAGAATGAATATAGCCCATTGTTAAAGGTTCCTTGATGCAGGATGCTCCCCGAGTAGTCCTTAACAAAAAATGAAGAATGATAAAATTCAAAGTATACTGAATTGTCTTTGAAAAATTGAAGTATAGAGACTAATTTTTTTAATATCTAGAACAAGTAAAACTTGACTTGAAATAAAGGGACGATAGGGATTTGAGAGAAGAATGGAACCAATTTTTTATATTTGCAAACCTGCGCCATTACCGACCTGGATTTGATCAGCACCATCATAGTCCTCTCTTTGCAAATTGAGGTTGTTCACCTTATTGGTGAGATGATGAGTAGCGCCTGTGTCCGGATGCCATTCTATATCACCCGAGGAATAATTAGAGGCTATCATGGCTTGTGGAAGGCGAGAAGGAGAAGGAGAAAAAGTTGAGGTTTGATAGTTGATATCAAATTGATGATAGCACTTCTTTGCAGTATGACCAGGCCTATCACAAACCTGACAATAAACCACATTTCTGAAGGAGTGGTCATGACCAAGGTTGTTGGAAAAATTGTTACTACCCTGAAGCCCATGCCTTCGATTGCGAAAGCCACAACCACGTTGGAGTTGTGAAGATTGTCTAGTGGCAACATTAACTGATCCTTACAGGACAGTTTAGATCTGATAGTGATGGTTCAGTCGAGACTCAGTGGATAGCAAGAGGAAGTAGACTACTTCAAGTGTTATTGGATCATTTCGAGCTTCAATAGTTATAACAAAGGGATCATAGTCATAACCTAAGTCTAACAGCAGATATATGATTATCCTATCACACTTGAGAGCTTGTCCTACAATGGCAAGTTCATTAGACAATGATATGCATGAAATGATCATTAGCAGATAGAGATCCCTTGCGAGCATTACCAAGTCTCTGCAAAGTTAAATTGCACGAACACGAGATTGAGAAGAGAATGTGGTCTCCAATGCAAACCATACAACAGTGGAAGTTGTATGGTTGACAACCTGTGCCATAACTGATTCACTGATAGTGAAGAGAATAATGGCCAGGACAATGGTGTCCTGATATTGCCTGTGAGCAAATAGTGGATTTGGAAGGGAGGAGATAGCACCAGTTGTAGGATGAGGGGAATCAACTTCTTCAGGTGGGGATTTAATAGTGCCAGTTAAATAGCCAAAGACGCCTTCGCCACGAAAGAAAGGAATCATCTGTGCCTTCCAGACATGATAATTATCTCTAGTCAATTTGGTGACATTGATGATAGTCATGATAATTTTACATATGTTAGTCTTGAAGAAAAGTTGATATAAATAAGTTAAACCCAAGATATCGAAGTTTAAAGAAGTTGTAGTTTATTATAAATTAGTATGGATTCTATTTGAATTTAAATTGTTGGTCACTTCCCGTAGGTATATATATATATATATAAAATTTTGGAAAATGTGTGAATATAGGAATTTTCCTTTTTGTTGCCTCACTTTTATAACGTGTACTTTTGATGAGATTTGGTGTGAAGGACAAATATGGAAAATTGGTGTGTGAAATGCTGAATTCTTGTCAGCACACATTCTGGAAAATTGACAACTTTCATCAATTAAAAGAGCAAATAATGGTACACGGCAATCATGGTCCTCTACTATCAATGTTTCAACCATCATTGGCTTGAAATTAGGCAAACTGCCGTGTTTGACTGTGAAACGACTTTCAAACGTGCAAAATTTAAAGACACACATTGAGCCATTTTATGGAAAATACGTGATTTTAGAATATAATATAAATATTATGGATAAAAAATTATGATATGTTTTATTTATTCAAAAACGTACATACACACGGGACATCAGAGAAAGATTGTGGAACGTGGGAATTATTTCTTTTCTGCTAGAAAACTCTTTTCATCAATCAAGGTAGGATATTGAGGTGCAAAGTTTTTTGTCCCGTTTAATTATTATTCTTACATGTTGATGAATTTTATACTCGTGAAGGTTAATGCTATGATATGATGTTCTATAATATGAACGATATGGTCATTCTGGTACAATGATATGATATAATACAATATGTTATGAGCTCTTACCAGATTTTAAAGATATAAGACGGTATGATATTCTGATACATGTGTTTAAAATTTTTATTCGGGATTGCACCATTAAAATTTTTATATCCTACTGAGTATTTCCATGTACTCATCCTTTTTTCCTACACCTCCCAGGGTAGATCGGGTTATGTCGGAGCGTGGTGGTTCGTTGGTGTGTTGGTGCCTTGTTTCGCTGGTTAAAGATCTAAGTTAGCACGTAATTTAATTTATTTTATATTTATTGCAATGAACATTTATTTATAAATAAATTTTCGTATATGTTTATATGCAAATGGATATATATAGTCTACATTTTAAAATAAAAAAAAATTTGTAGCGAATTAAATTATGATGATTTGAGTCGTTACAGAATGGTATCAGAACTAAGTGTTCTAAAATCAATTCTGTAGACTCAAAAAATAATAATAAAAAAATAAAAGGGATTTATGCTTCTGTTCAGGTCACTTTAATTTTGCATTTCGGTGAAAAAATATAACTATTATTCCATTTGCAATCTGACTACCCATTCTCCCATGTACCATGTATTACACCTTTCATATTATTTTCCCACGTTTGTGTTTGTCCTTTGTTAAGTTGAAATAAAGTGTGAGATGTTTAATATTATTTTATTGAATTGTTGAATTCAAAAGCAATCATCCATTTCAATTGATTAACATTAAAATAATGATTTTATACTATCCCAACTCCCGAGGCAAGCTTTCATTGTCTGCGTGTGTGCAAATGCATAAATATGTTTTGTATCAATTGATTTTGTATACGTGAAGTTGTAACGTACGATAAATATGTGTGCATTGCGTGTGATGTCATATGAGGAATATGTGTGTAAGTATACATATATGTAGTTGTGTATATTTGTACAGCATAATTATGCATGTTTTATAATTTTACTAAATCGTGTAATAATAGAAAATCATTATTTTAATAACTATTAAAATGATTGATACCTGTTTAGCTAATGATGTCTATTTTATGTTGGATTCAAATTTTACATTTTAACACTGGTGTTTACACTGACTTAAAAAAAATATCCAACGTGAACAGTGATGGTAAGGTGTAAACTGTAATTCTTTGAACACAATATGTTATATTGATATTTTTATATTATCATGTCTATGCCTTTCATGTACTGCCTTTGACTTTTTTTTTCCCTTATTCAATGAGTCAGGGTAGCATTTGGTTTTCCAACTTGTTAATAAATTTTTTTAGAGATAAATTTAAAGATTTGTAAACACTTTTAAAAGTTCTAAAATATATAACAATTTGAAAGAAATTTTGGCACTCAATGACCACCAATCGACCACCCTCCGACGAATCTAAGGTATGTAAAGGGGTAAGAAAAATGCATTTATTTAATTTTTTTGCATAACTTAAATATATTAAATTACCTACTTTTAAATTCCGAGTCATGTTGTTTGTTGACTCGCTAAATTTATGATAGAAAGGTATAGATGTTAGATTTAGTATTGGTGTGTGACGAGTAACTTAAATATTTAGGAAATGGTCCCACCTACCCATACAAATTTGGTACGCGAATTATTGCAAGCGGTACAAGATTTGAGTAGGCAGAGCCAAGCACTGCCACCACAGAGTGCACCTTCATTTGTCCCTGGAGCCATCTCAATGGTTGAGCAGTTTCGTAGGCACAAGCCTCCGACTTTTGATGGTGGTTCCGACCCACTACCTATTGAGGAGTGGATTAGAGGTTTGGAGCGCATCCTTCGACACATTGCTTGTACGGATGCACAAAAGGTACTATGCGCAGAATTCATGTTTGTTGGAGCAGCCAGTCACTGGTGGGAATCTGTCTTACGCACTAGGACCGAAGAGCAGCAGCGTGACCTAACTTGGGAGCAATTTAAAGATGAAGTGATGGCAAAGTACTTCCCACAAGCCCTGAGAGATTTCAAAGAATCAGAGTTCCTACAGCTTAGACAGGGAAAATTATCACTTATTGATTATGAGAGGCAGTTTGAACAACTCTCAAGATATGCCCCGCACTTAGTAGATACGGAAGTTAAAAAGATCAGAAGATTCGAAAATGGACTACGACCAGAGATTGGTATGATCATTAAATCTCACCGTTTCACTTCATACCGAGAAATGTTGGAGAGGGCTCACACTATTTCATATCAAAGGAATAGATTTGAACAATATTCCCAGCAGGGCAAGGAGTCATGGGGAAAAAGGAAGTGGAATGATCAGAGCAAGGACAGGCGTAACTGGCCGAATAAAAGACCAAGCACAGGAGTTCACATTGGTGGGACAAATGGGACTATTACACCTTGTCCTAAGTGTAATAAATCACATAGGGGCGAATGCTTATTTGGGAAGAACATATGTTTCCGATGTGGTAAGCCGGCGTATATCTCCTTGAATTGTACAGAGCCTCCACGAAAGAAGAATGATGACCAGGACAAGAACAAGAAAGGGAAGGCTCAAGTTTTTGCACTAAACCAGCATGAGGCAGAGCAAGATCCGAACGTGATAGCAGGTATTTTATTATTTGAAGTACCTATTTATGTTCTTGATTTTTCATTCTCCATTACAAAGTCTGACATCAAAATTCTTTTAAAAAAAAAACTAGGTATTTTGTTATTATCTGATATACCCGCCTATGTACTTTTTGACTCTGGGGCTACAAATTCTTTTATCTCTACATCATTCGTTATTAAGTCTGGCATTGTATGTGTGAAAACGGATAATGCATTAGAGGTTAGCATTCTTCAGGAAAAACTCTTTCTACAAATGAGATGACTAGGGCTACAAAGTTAGAGATTGATGGAAATATACTAATGGCGGACTTATACCTTTTGGAGATGAAAGATTTCAACGTAATTTTAGGCATGGATTGGGTGGGACTCAATCATGCGACAATTCGATGTCATGAGAAGGAAGTGTTATTTCATAAACCAGGAGAAGAAGAGTTTCGTTTCTTTAGAGCAAAGTCCAAGACTCTACCACGTCTGGTGTCGGCCTTACAAGCAGAGAAGATGCTGAGAAAGGAGTCATGCCATGGATTCCTAGTTAATATTAATGACCCCAAACATACAGAAACAACCGTCAAAGATATTAATGTTGTGCGAGACTTTGCAGACGTATTCCCGGAAGACCTACCAGGTATTCCACAAGATAGGCAAGTGGAATTCACAATTGATTTAGTTCCCGGAGCGACACCAGTGTCTAAGGCCCCATACCGAATGGCACCGAAAGAACTCCAAGAATTGAAGCTACAATTAGAAAAGTTGCTGGAAAAAGGTTTCATTCGACCAAGCATATCTCCTTGGGGCACTCCAGTGCTTTTTGTGAAGAAAAAGGATAGGAGTATGAGGATGTGCATTGACTATCGAGAATTGAACCATTTAACTATAAAAAATAGATATCCCTTGCCAAGAATAGAAGATTTATTTGACCAGTTAAGGGGTGCAACGGTGTTTTCGAAGATCGACTTGAGGTCAGGGTATCATCAGCTGAAGATCAAGGCAAGTGATATACCGAAAACTGCTTTCAGGACTCGTTATGGGCATTATGAATTTACTGTCATGCCTTTTGGTTTGACCAATGCTCCAGTTGTATTTATGGATCTCATGAACAGAGTATTTCATCAATACTTAGACAAATTTGTCATAGTATTTATTGAAGACATACTTGTGTACTCAAAGGATAAGAAGCAGCATGAGGAACAATTTCGAATAGTACTCGAAACTTTGAGAAATGAGAAATTATATGCCAAATTCAAGAAGTACGAATTTTGGCTTGATCGCGTAGATTTTCTTGGTCACGTGGTTACCGCCCAAGGAATCGAAGTAGACCTTGCTAAAGTGGAAGCAGTAACAAATTCTAAAAGCATATGAAAATGTACTCATAAATGGCATATTTATAATACTCAACTAGGATTTGAAAATTGCATAAATTTCCTTGAATTTTATTATAGTAAACCAATTAAGTCATACACCTTTATTGGGCCAAGAGAGGGACTTAATCGGACTCACATTACTTAAGCTGCAATAGATATTTCTAATTGGGTCAAGTTTTGACCAATTCAGATACATCTATTAATCTTGGTTCATTCTACAAAAAAAAAATGCACTTTCGAATCGAGTGATAGTTATAGAAGCAAATTATGATCTGATAACAAATCCTCCGATTATCTTTCTATAAGTCAACCCCCATTTGATCTTCAATATGTTGAAATTAGCAAAATGATCGATTTGCCCTTCACATGTATTACCCTCTAAATTTCATTTTCATAAGAAGAGCTCCTTGTATCAAATCACAATATAAAGTCCAATGATCTCATCATCGAACTACTGAGCTCAAGTTCAATTTGCCTATAGAAATACCTTAGAATGACGATCGTCTCATCTCAATAATTAATGGATTCTACTATCCCAAGTATACTATCTCTAATTGTTTCGCCCCGATTCCCAAAATACTGAGATCAATCTTCTAATTAAGACTTTACCCATTGGTGCCTCAAAGAACTCAAACTAACAATCAAAGATATATTACTCACACAGATAATCAAGTAAAGTCTCATTTCGAACGGTCACAAATAAGTCATCTATGCGATCTCGTTCAATGTGCATCAAAACACATTATTGTTCTTATTTCAAAATTTAGACAAATCTTAATAAGAACAATGCAATCTTATCAATAAAAAATGTCCAACTTTATGTACTGATTGTGAACAACATATTTTTTATTCCATCACAAATTGTGTCTTACTATACCTGAACCATCGAGGATACAATTTGTGGCAATCTATATGATCATGAAAATTAAGATAATCGCTTCAAATTATAATACGCGAATAATCGAACGTTAATTTATAATGTCATTTTACAAAATACCACTCAAAAAAGGGGCATCAAATTAATATGCTTTGGGAAGACGATGCATGAATGTCATGTCAGTGAAGGTGGTATCTCCATTAGCCTGTGAGCTTTCACGAGAAATCTTGCTTTACTGCAATTTAAACAACAAACAAACTTGTTACCACAGTCTAAAGTTTAATCATACTTAATTAATTTAAAGGATGAGATAGGTTATTTTTAGCAATCTATCTAGCAATAGTTTAGATTACACAGATGGCTAATCTTTCATTGTTCAATAAATCAAAATCATCTATAACTTTCGGATAGTTAAGGTGAGCCTTCATTGTCGTTTGAACTAATGAAAAGTGTTAGGCAATGTACTGATCTCTTGAATTTTGATTGCTCGAGTATGTCAAATGTACTTGTATGTGAGTTTTGATTTAAAGAATTTTATATTTACCCAAAAAAATAATAATAATAATAAAAATGAGGGAGATAAAATTGAATGATTGAGTACTAGTGATGAAGTGTGGATCTCGCTGTAACTTAAACGAATGATGATATATGTCGATGGTACGCTCACTGTGTGTAATGAGAGACATTGTGATAGGTCATGTTAAAGGGCTAAATTTTCATGTCTAGTCCATGTTTCAACGGTTCTCTGGGATTTGGACAAGAGGGTCCAGTAGAGATCAAACACATGTCCCTTGCATTTGTATTTGAACAAGAGTCTATATATCAATTATTATAAACATCTCGATGCACGTACATAAATTAAAAATCAAATTGCATTCACTATGAGTGGCTATTATTTGTTTGTTGATTTTTCAATTGAAAGATCTTTCTTATTCAATCAAGGGTCTCACCCCCGACTTCACCCCACGCTCACCCCACTTGACAAAATGCACAATTGGATCTTGATCACTTATCACTTCACTTATTTTCTAGAGCTTTAAATTATATTCTTTCACTTGATTTTTTTTGATCGACAAATATTTAAGAAAATAGTTGAGCGTTTGTTAAAACATTGGTGTTGCATACATAATTTATACAATTTTGAACTTTATCATAAAATGTCAATCCTATTAAGAGTAACACAAATACTTATTCCTTAACAATCTCAAATGTTAAATAATAATTTTAAAAATTCAAACTTCCAAAGTAATACCTAACCAACGATCGTATGATTCACTTTGTTGATGCATACATAGTTCTTGAAGCTTCTAGCTAATACCACAATTAAGTTAACGTCTTAAAAGTTGATTTATCTTCATTATAAATGACGAAATCGGTCTATATATCAGGTATGCTTTACAAATGCTAAATGAAGAGCAAGAAGTTGTCCAATTTTCACTTTGTAGATTGTGCATGGTATTATATACAAGTGTTATTTAGTATATACAAATTAGATATTAAAAATAAAGTTGCCATTTTTTAAAAATTTTGACATGTTAATCAAAGTTGTTAATTTTCTTATATAAATATATTTATGCAGAACTTCTTCTTCCACTGAGTGGATAAAATTGTATAAAAAATAAGAAATATTCACCAATAAAATATTTAAATACTGTAGGGTTTATGGTTTAATATATGCATCTCTAGTCCCACAACATTTTGGAATAATTTATAGTCGTTTAAAGTCATGGTTTTAGCTTAATTAATTATTATCTGGATATAAAAAGTTTATAAATAATTATTCAGTTGTCCTTAAAAAAATTTAAAATTAAAAAAGATGATACAACAAAAAGCTAAAACTGACTCAAAATACTCTTAATCCACCATGTTTTGCCGTGTGCGTCTATTTTTAGGAAAAAAAGAAACACATGTCCTCGTGTCAGATAAGCATATGAATTATTCTAAAAACATAACCAATCAATTGAAAAGAAAATATCTTTTTGGCCTTTTGCTTAAATATATAGATTAGTGCAAAGGGTCAATTCACTAAACCAACTAGGTTTCACTTTCGTGTTAGTATCCTTATCTCCTTGTTAAATCTTTTTAGAAGCATAAAAGTTGCTTTTAAGTTCTAGAAAGAATTATTTTGCTTTGCTTAATCATTTGTATTTAAATTTCCTTTACAAGATCAAGTATCTGATACCGTGAAACAAGACGTGATCAATTGAAGGATGAATCAACAGATAAAGAAGAAAAGATAATGGCATTCCTATAGTTGAGGAAGAGAATCGAGGAGGAGTTATTTTGTCTTGTACCCTTCAATTATGGACAAAGAGACGTGCAATTGAATTCTTAATCATCCTCGCATGATCGAAGAGTTTTTGACAACTCCTTTCTCATTGAAATTAAATTCTAGATGCTCTTTTATTCATAAAGAATTCAAGAAACATAGGAATGTTACAACACGATACAAAAGTGCTAAATAAATGATGGAGACATACTAGAAAATGTATTATACAAATTTTGTCATTTTTAGAGATGGGACACGTTAGATTGATTATTATCAAAAAATCAATCAACAAATTGTTAAATTTAATACATACTTCTTAATCGTATACAATAATATATACTTCTGTATATCAAATATGTCGATTCAAGTCACTTTCTACGTATTAAAATACTTGTCGTCTTACTTATATGTTCAATTAGAATACTTTATGATATGTTTGAGATCATGAGGTAGTTTGACAAAACTTTTAGCATATTTTAAATATTAAGAAAAAAAAGATAAAATTTATAATTAATAAATTAATAAAAATTGTGAGTTCTATAAATATAAAATTAAAATTAATTATTAACCTCCATCTCAACTTTTTATTTACTTTTTTAAAACAGTAATTCGTGTTAAAATGCTATAAAAAGGCATGTTTCCCACTAAAGACTAAACAAAGTAGGCGTGGAGCCCAAAAATCTGACTCATTGGTAGTTAAAGTAGCCCAATCAAAGCCCAATTATTCTTTTAATTTGCCTGATAAAGTGAACAAACACCTTTAATAATTTACGTACAAATTTTCTTCGGAAGGAAGAGTAGTAGATAACTAGATACCTTATTTTTAATAGTTCAAGTGTTCATAGTTTATTGACATAATTAAATCGGTTAAATTTGTAATTCTCTTTACAACAAATGGTTAAATATCTTAATTAATTGTCACTAAATTTAAAAGTTCATTTAAATTGCCATTGAATAATCGCTCCACCATTGGTTTTTTTAAAAATTGCTAAATTAGATGATATAATAGACCAAATATACTCGATTGATTAACTGAGAAGCTCTCCTTCTAGCCCTAAAAGTCCCTGCTGTCAAGGGAACATACAAATTTAAATTTTCTCGAGCTACAGTTCGACTTAATCACTGAAAATATAAAGGTTTCATCTACTACCCTTTCAGAGAACTATAATTAAAGTTTCATTATGAGTTTTTATCCTACCCCCAATCTATTTTATGAGAATATATGCCCTAAAGTGTCGGAATTTAAATATTAAGTGTTTTTTTTTCCCCTTAATGAAGTGGCAGGCCCTTGTGATCCAAGCTAAAGTAAGTTCGGTAAAAAAAGAGATTCTGTAAGTTTCTCTAAGACTATAAATAGCAGTAGTGCTCCAAGACATTGTCATTGATCTAAGTTTCTTTACTCTTTACACTATGATCACTATAATTCACTTCTGCTCTCAGTTCAAATTGAGGGCTCAACCCAATCTTCTAGCCTTGAATCACTTCTCTTTCGAGTAAAAAACCTGAAAAAAAAAAGAGTAAAATTTTCGATATCTTGAGAGAAAGGATCCAGTTCTAGAAATGGATTCATTTAACATTGATGGCATCAAATTCGAGAAGGTTAGCGCGATCTTTAGGTATGATAAGCTTCAAAAGATCACCATACTATTTAGATTCATGGAGCTATGTGTTTTCTTGATCATTCTCTCCAGAATTTCCATTCAACTGCCTTTTGCTTTCGAACTGTCTGGTGAATACTTCAGGGGACTATTTGTAACCTTAATTAGTCCCCGGTTCGTGTTTGTAATTGGGAACGTGATAATCGTCGTTCTGTTCCTGAAATCAGGACAGTTATCAGCCAAAGACGTTGAAAAAAAACGCAAGATTGATGTTTATGATGAGTACATGGAAAACTGTCGAAAGAAAAACTACGACAACAAAAAACCGAGAAACAACATCACTCGTTGTGATCAAAAGGAGATGAAGATGCACAGGAGTCAATCAGAGAAAATGGAAAGGATGCACCCCGAGGATCCTCACCGGGAAATAAGGCGGACGATGACAGAAAGATGCCGGAAAAGTGTAAATTACGGTAAGAAACCTGGGGTTGCTTCGTGTGAAAAGGATAAAATGAGCAGTGAAGAGTTTAGGCGCACTGTTGAGGACTTCATCGCTCGGCAGCAGAGGTTTCTGAGGGAGGAAGAAGAATTTTCAGATGTTATTTTCATATGAAACGTGAATAAACACTTGTATGCATGTTTGATATACAATATTAGACAATATAGTACAGTACTGTGTCCCGTATTTCTGACTTCCTTTTTCAGTCCATATAGGCGTAAACTCCTTTGTATTTTTATCATATGTACAAACCTTAATTCCGATATGCCAAATTTTCATACTGGTTGTTAATCTATTTCAACCTTCTTCCCTTTACCCAGGTTTGGGACCTACTATGATTCGCCACAAAATAGTAAAAACGATTTAGATGATGCTTATTCATGAACGGAGCTCTGTAGGAAGAAATTCCAAATGATTTCATTTGCTGGATAATTAGGAGAAGTGGAATATTACAGGGAATTGTGTTCTAATTCTTATTCCATAGAAAAATATGGTTTGATGCCATAATTCTAGTAATTTTATATTTGTCACATGAGTCATTCCTTACTCAGCAGCATAAATCCACCCTGAAAGAAAAAGGAAAAAAAAATAAAAAATTGCATCTTTATTATTCTTATAGGTTCTAATTGTTGGATAGTCTACTACTCAACATCATTTTCCACATTGCAATCTACTTTTCTTTATAGTGGAACTTCCATGCTTGCTATTTTACTTTTAATCTTGACCACTCACATCATATTTGGTATGATATACTCCTCATGTTAAATATATACTCAATGAGACCAAGCCCAATGAGCTTGACACATGCATTATTCTTTTTAGCTAATTACACCAGTTCAAGTGGTCAACTAAATATCTTGTGTGTTTCGAACTCTATATGTTGGAAAATTCACGAGAGGTGGAGAGCTATAAGCGTTGTCCTAAGACGATATTTGCAGTAGTTTTTCCTTTCGCTTATTTCCCACTTTGTTTCTTGTCTCCGCTTTTTTTGTCTATACTAACACTACTTTCTCACTTTAGAAAGTATTCAAGAAAATTACCTCTCCCTTATTTCCCACTCTGGTTCTTTTCTTTGCTTTTTCCGTCCATACTACTTTCTCACTCCAGAAAGTACTCAAGACATCTTTGAAAAAATTACAATGCTATATGCATTCATGAAAACAATAATACTATGTAATCCTAAATGGTGACATGCAGTCTTTTAACAAGTAGAAATAATCAGGGCCATTTCCCTCGGATTGCAGTAACATTAATTAAATATATTAATAAATCTTTGACAAAAAGTTATATTTATTTGACAAACCAATCCTCTGGGTATTAAAACACTGTAAAGTAATAATATGACAAAAGACTAAAACACATCCAGAAGTGCTTATATAATTGAAAGCATAAAAAACAGCAGTAAATATCATCCAGTACCAGCAGCATTTGGCCCAGAAAAGCAGCATCACACTTGACTCCAGGCTTCATTTCGATCAATCCAATTAACTGGCTGCCTTCGGGTGATCATTCCCCATTGTGGCTGCATCAATCTTCCAATGAAACTAAGCTTTCAATGTAAAATACAGCTTTCATTCCCCACGCCAAACCTTCAATCTTTATTTCAGAATCAACAGGAAGAGGAATTTGCATACTTTTTGCTTTGAGATCGTATGGGATTATAGTGTCACCTTCGTCCTCATTTACAAAAAGAACCCAATTATTCTTCAAAATCCCTATTGGCGTCAACAATCCTTTTAACAATCCAACAGAAGATTGCTTGGTCCAAGTAACTGCCATGCCATGTCTATCCAATGTCCACAGTTCAGACCATGTTTCAGTTTCATTTTGTAAGAAAAAGAACAAAGCCAATGAACCATTGTACTCATTGAAAGTAGTACTTCCTCTTACATCTCCCTCCATAGGTGGAAAAACTAGTTTAGGCAAGCGAATCATCCATAACTGCTCGTTGCTAATGTCAAAACAAACAATAAACAACCTTGCCCACCAATAGTAAGTTCCATTCACATACGCTGAGTTATAATAACTGAAAGAGTAATAAACCCGAGTCGGCAAAGCAACATCAATTTTTCTCCAAGAATTTGTACTCAAGGTATATACATAAACATGATATTCACCACCTCCACCTTTATAATCACTCCATAGCATTTTGACCACCTTATAATCTCTAGTTTTCCAGTCAAAACCAAACCCGTATAGTGCATTATTGGGTTTGTGAACAAATTCTCTTGGAAGACGAGTGGGAGTTTTGGGTATATCTTTGATTTCTCGAGTTGCTGGATTCCACAGGAAAAAATTTTCATAATAGTCATAAAGACAAAATAGACCATGGCAGGGTCCCATAATTCTGAAATGTCCCTGAGGTTTTGTGTGAAATCTTAAATTTTTTGGCGCCTTTAGTTGTTCATTTGTGAACAAGGAGAAGACTGTTGCCCGAGTATGAGGATCGATATGCATGATGAGAAGACGAGCTCTTTTGCAGTCCACAAGTGCCATATTCAAATGCTCGTAAATAAAACTGTGACCGGTAATGATGGAACGCCATGATTTGCACACACACTTAAAACGCAACAGAGACTTCACAGGCAACCTTGACAAGATCTCAATAATCACATCTCGAGGGATGTGGCCAAAATTGTCCATTTTCGAGATTTCAATGTAATCTAAATGGAAAAGAGTGCAAGTCAGAAATTACAAAGGGTAATCAATAAAGTGATAGATCAACAGTAAAGATGAAATTACCAATAATCGTATCTTCCAAATATAGTTATCTTACAGCAAAACATACCCGCAAAGTCAACGATAATTTTGGTAAACACGGAGAGGGAATTACGATATAATAAAACTAAAAGAAAGAAAAGCCGATATTAAGACCACCGACCAGATAAACGATGCATGAGAATTGTCGAATCTTGCGTACATGCATGCACGCGCACACGGAGAGAGAGAGAGTATTTAAACCTTGAATTTGAAGATCATACAACATATATAACAAATCCAATACAATTATGACAAATCCAATAAAGTGCATAAAACTTTATCGACTTTTCAACAGCATAAACTTTAATTTTAACCACACATTTCATAGATCTACGACGTTTATAAACATTTTAACCACATATTTCATCAACATTTATCAAAACCTGCTAAAACTTTCATCAAAAGCTATTATTACTATAGGATAATTGCTAAAGAAGAATCAGTTGTAAAATACAAAGCTCAATTTCGAAATGCATCATTCAACTATGAAATGTCATTTTAAAAAGTACATACATTTTGAAAGACGGAACTAAAATCCTAGCTTCAAAGCCAAATTACAAACTAAGTTAATTAGATACAATTAAAAAAAAAAAAAAAATGTGCTCACTAGTTAAAGCCCCAGTTCCAAACACAGAATGTTGTGATCGTGACTACCAAAAGAATAAACCTCTTGAATAAATTTCAATATATAGGCATAAAAAGTAATATTATAATAAGAATAAAACTTTCAGTCCTACAATTGTATATAAAGCCTAATAGGCTAATAGAACAGGTCCTTCAAAAAATCAAGAATTAAATTTTTAAAGCAAGAAAAGCAAAATTCATTGGGTTTATACCATAGAACATGAATTCAACAACTACGTCATTGCAAGATCAAAAAATAATTTCATTTTTAGTACCTCAGGTGATGAAGCAGATAAAATTTAGGTATTCATTTCGCCGTTTGAACCCTAACTTGCTCTGGAGGAATGAAGAATAATTTTACTACCAAAGAAAGTGTCAAAACTGAAAACTACGAATGTGAGCTTATTTACCAATGGGAGCATCACTCATTCGAAAAAGGAAAATGCTTGTTCTGAACCATCATTTACATTTTTTATTTTTTTTTCAAATTGTGAGGCGTCAAAAGAAAATTAGAATTTTTTATTTATTTATTTATTTATTTTTTTTTTTGTTATATAGCTCACAGTTTATTTATCGACCCCAAATTAAAAAATTTATAAATCAAAATTTATTTATCAATTACAAATCACAAATTTTATAAGTCACAGCTCAAAATTTTAAATCACATATTTTTTATTCATCACAAATTATCGATTACATATTATTTATTAATCATAATTTTTAACCAATTAGTTGGTCATACACGCATATAATTGGTGACAATCATTCAAATAGCTGATTGCAAACACTCTTCATCCCATGCCCCAGGCCAAAACACTCAAATACCTATATATGATCATAAACACTCTTAATCCCATTCCAACCTCACCGTCAACACCAATTGAATATCGAGTCACCTCACCACCACGGCAAATATCATCACCACGACAACCAATCGCACCACCACCACCAACTACCATTTGTAAACTAAAAAAAAGCCAACCACTAACAACCAACAAGAAAAGCAACCACGAAACTTTAGCTGGAGGAGGAAAAAATCACCCCAAAAATCCCAAACCCCCTCCCCAAATTTTCTGTACGGAAGCCAACCTTATCTAGCCACAGGTGGTACGAGAAGATGCACCGCCGACAATGCTAAGTTCGCACCAGTATCGAAAGCATCGTGATGCTACTGCGAACTAGCAAAAATCTTAATTTTGAAAAAAAAAAATTATTAATTAAATATATTAAATTCACAGCATTATACAATTTATGGTCACAATTGCTTACTAATCATAATAAAAAAAATTGTTACAATCACAAGTTACGATTTCATAAGTTACAACTTATTCATCGATCATAAATTATCAAACTAATTGGTAACACATTATTTTTAATAAGTTACAATCTAGCATCAGTGACAAATTATCAAATTAATATGTTACGTTATTTTACAATCACAAATCACAAATTTTATAAATCACAACTTATTTCACGATCAATTATCAAATTAATTACTCCCAAGTTATTTCTCGATTATAGTTTATCAAATTAATTGATCACATCTTAACAAATTGTATATCACGATAGCAATTTTAGTCACAATTTCTATTATTTATAGGTCACGTATTATTTATTGACCACAAATTAATTAATTTATTCTTCACAATCACCAAAAAATCCCCCCTTCCCCAAACAACCTAACCCACCATCAGCTAAGGTTGTTGATGGATTGAATTTTAATTTGAATTTGATAAAATTAATGGGAGATAGATTTAAGGTCTTGGTTCGACAATCCAATCAAGATCCAAATCCGATAATTCGTTAACTAAATGAAACAAACATGAATATAGGTCAATTCGATCTGATAAAAACTTATCCGATTTGTTATAATAATACGAAATCATTCCTCGTACTTATAAAATTGACACATTTATTTGACAAATAATCATAAACTTTAGTTTAAATTAACAACACTTAATATATATTTTACTAAGATTATGGGAGAGTTTGTTATAATCACTCGAGATTCATAAAAATATTGAGAGTTGGATTGACATAAATTAAAAGTTATGATTATTTGTCAAATAAATATGTCAATTTTACGCGTAGGAGGGACCGTCCCCATAATAATATAATATATTTTATATATTGTCGCATAAGTTAGTACACGTATTTTTTTCATTTTAAAACTTGTATTATACTTTACACAAAATTTTCAAATAATAAATAATATTAGATAATATTTTAATATTATTAATTGAAGTATTTGGAAAATTTTTAATTTTTTATTAATTAAAATAAGATTAAAAAATTAACTTATTTTATAAATTAAACAACCAAGTGGGCCAACAATGGGAATTGCTTTCGGTGTAATCTATAAATATGAGGGCCAAGAATTGAGTAAAAAATCTATTTGGACCTTTTAATTATAGAGATTATAAGTAGACTAATATAAATTTTATTTTTTTTCTTTCAAATTTACTCAGTTTCGAATCGAATTAACGGATCGGATATCCAAAAATATAGTAAATTGGACATGGATTCAACAATCAAATATTCATTGAATTATCGAATCGGATCAGATTGAATTGAGTAATTATTCTTATCGGATCAGAATAGATCTGGACAAATTGAATCCATTTATAGCCCTACCACCAGCATCAACCAAACTCCACTCTACTTCTCCATCAACAGCACCGCCACCACCACATGAGCCACCACCATTTGTGACCACTACCAACACAACAGCCACTCGCACAACCTCCACAATCGCCATCACCACCACCTCACCATAATTACTTGTAGCACCACCACCATTTGTAAGACACCAACAATCACTCCTGAAACTCCGATTAAGCAGCAGATATGATCAGAAAACCACTCGCCAACAAATCACTTACAACAGATCAGATCTGAAAAATCACTAACAAAACTCAAATAACTACCATTAAATGTAAGTGCACGCAATAGCGATGTGTCGTGCACGACGATAGCGATGCTGGAATAGAGAGGGTTGACAGAGAGATAAAAAGAGAGAGAATAGAGAGGGAAATGATTTAGAGTCTGGGAGTGAAATTGAGTGGGGATTAATTTAATTTAATTTAATTATATTATTGTTTAATATTAAAAAATTGAATTATCACTCAGTTTTGTTCAAAAGAATTTTAAACCTTATTTTTAAAATTGTAAGTTAAAAAATAGTGTATATGTAATTCACTAAAATTTATTGTTCATTTAAGTGATCTATTATGATTAAGTCGTTACGAAAAATTAAAACTGTGAATGAAATATACTTGATTGGGGATTATTATAAGCCAACTAGTTGAAGGATGCACGTAGACAGATGACATTGGGATATAATAAGTGGAAATTACATAGAGGCTTGCTTTTAAAGATCGAATTTCAAAAATCATAAGTATAGTTTATATATATATAATACAATTTTTAATATTTAATAATACTATTATAAAATTCAATTAATTATATGCCCACCCCAAACCCTAATATCCATTTTCTCTCCTCTCTTTATCATCGTCGGAAATACCGTAGCTTGACACGCCAGACGCTAGCAACACAACGGCATCACTCTGAAGTAGACATCACTACCACGAATCTGTTAAGAAGATGACGAAGATGGGTCTGTTATAAGAAGCGACGAGCCACTACTTCATGGTGGTCGCGAATCCATGTGTTTGACATAAAGGGTATGAATTTGTGGTGGTGCGGTGGTGTATGTGGTATTGTTGGCGATGGTTTGTGTAGTGATGATGCTAGTGGTGGTTGTGCAGTTGGTGAAGATAGGTGCATCGGTAATGGTTTTAGAGTTTTATGTTGGTTTCTTCCTCCAATCTGCTTCGTCGAAGCTTTCGAGGGTGTTTAGCCGATTTTTTTGTGGTGTTTGGATGGTGCTCAACAAGTAGATTGGAAGCGGTGCTAGTTTTAGTTTTAGTTATTGTTTATTTTGTAAGTTTCAGATTGTGAGGTTATGTTGGTGGTGGTATGACGATGAGGTGGTACCAGCTCTTTGGGTTCTTTTTCTATTTCTATTTTGTTACAGATTTCAAAGCAGTGTTAGCGGTGAGGTGGTGTTGATCGTGGTGGTAGTCATATAGTGGTGTGGTGAGGTTAGTGATCATTTGATTGGTGGCGGCGATAATTGTGGTTGTGGTTGTGGTTGTGAATTGGTGGCAGTGGCGCTGTTGGTGGTGGTAGTGGTAGTGGTGATGGTGATAGTTGGTTTGGGAAAGCTTTGGTTGGTCGTGGTGGTGTGTGGTAGAGATGATGGTCGCAAGAGTTGGTGGTGATCACATATTATTTGGTTAACTGTGACCAATAAAAGGATAAATTGTAACCAAGATATAATGATGCGAACCCACGTAGCAACGAACACTACGAAACCCGCAGAAGAATAAAATCGGACCCAAGGAAATTCCAAACAATAAGGTTTATGAATTTTGACTAAAAAATGATGAATTAAACAATCTACACAGTCAATAGGACATGTCGACCTCTTAATCACACAATTTAATGAATCTAATTCGGATAATTTAAAGATCGACCCGAAAATTAAATGAACCAAGAAACCAAAGCAATTACAATAATACATTGACCCCGTGATTACACAACCCATGAATCTCACTTTGATTGGTTGAACGCCAAGAGAACTCATCCCAATAAGTTCGATAATTTTTTAAGCATAAAGCCTCCAGAGAAAATCTCCATTAATTTAATCTCAAAGTCTTGTTTTTTTACAATGTAGAAAAATAAATCTAGTTATACTAAAAACCTAGAATAAAGTTTAAATGGAATAAAATTCTAGAATACCTAGAAATCTAGTAAAATCGAAAATAGAGTCTTAAAATATCTAAATTACCAAAAATAAGAAATTAGACCAAAATAAAACTTCTCCAAATCACATCAAACCCTCCCTCTTTAAGAGGATTCGTTCTCAAATCCTGATCCAAGTTATGGCCTTTACTTTCAATCAACTCAAGCACATGAAATGGCCCATCACCTCTCGGATGCAATTTGGACCTCTTTTGATCCCAAACTCTCCTCTTTTGAATGTACACCCAATCACCATCACATAAATCAAAATGTGCTCGCCTCGACTGCTTAATTTTGCAAGTTGGAAATGCTCCAATGAAAACTCCAGTTGATGAATAATCGTACATCTTCCTTGCTTTATTCGGCTTAGGCAACTCTAGCAATGTCAATTCAAACGAACGCATTTTTCCCGGCAAGTCAACTTTGTAGCTCAACTCCTTGCTTAAGAACTCCTTCCAATGCCTTTGAAACTTTGTCACTTATTCGGGAATGACAAATTCAATGTTCGGTATATATGATATCTCCCAAGCAAGATGCGTTTGTTGTTGAAGTTTATCCACCAATTGATGCTTGATGCTCGGATTGTAAGAGATTCCAATAGGATTATTTTCTAGAATTAAATCTTCGATGACCTGCAAAACAAAATTATTCAAAATAGGGAGGGAAATGTTAGGGTTCGCCAATGCCTCGTCAATTTTAACCTCCTCTTTATGCAAGCTCACTTCGGACTCCTCTTTCTTTTCAAGTTCACTCTCGACTTCCTTTTCACTCTTTTTTTGCTCTTCTCCATTTTTCTCACAATCAACTACCTCACAAATTTTACTTTTACTATCTTGCACCTTCATGTGACTAATTTGAGATTTAACTTTGTCACGAAACCTTATTACTTCTAATTTGAAATCCCGACTCGCCAACTCACTTGATGTACTACGCACATGCTTCGCACTAGGTGTTTTCTTTTCCCTTGGCTAATCCCCATAATATTTCCTATGCATCTCCCTAAACTCTCGTTCACACCGATCTCTCATATCCCTTCCTTCGAACCTATCATATTTATTCCTCAATCTCCGTACCTCATTATTACCACAACCATTTCCATATGCATCACATTTTAATTCTAGGCTCCCATCTCATAACATTTTACACCTCATCACATTGATCCCTATGCAACTTAGCCAATTTCGAATCAATCCTATCCATCTTATTTCCCATATTATCAATCATCATCTCAAACCGCCTCATCATTTTTTCCAACATTTTTTTAACCTCAATTTATTTTCTACCTCACAAATTTCACTCGGAATCACACAAATTTGACTTTTTCCTTCTGTTGTTCTCACCACTCAGCCTTTTACCACTCAAACTTTCTCCAAAGCGCTTCAAGAACAATCAAAACTCAACCTGAAGTTATTCGCGTAGAATTCAAACCAAGTGAGATTTTCTGACATTAAAGACTCAAGACAAATTTTGAATTGGACACAAAAGGAATTAGGAAAGATTTATTTTTTTGGAGGGACTCAAAAATATTTTTTTTTATGAACAGTACCACCGACATGAACAATATCGTGAACATAATTTTTTTTATTTTTATTTTTTGTTTTTAGAAAAATACAAATACAATTAAACTACCTAAGATTTTAGATTTAAGACTCAAAACTAATGGAAAACACGAAGAACATGAAGAAAAACGCGGAAAACAAAATAACAATGACTCAAACACAAAAACAAAGGAATATAACCTTGATTTGTTGGAGCTGAAGCTTTGATACCACCTGATGCGAACCCACGTAGCAACGAACATTACGGAACTCGCGGAAGAATGAAATCGGACCCAAGAAAGTTCCAAACAATAAGGTTTATGGATTTTGATTGAAAAACGATAGATTGAACAACCCACACAATCAATAGGACATGTAGCCCTCTTTATCACACGGTTTAATGAATTTAATCTAAAAATTTTAAAGATCAACCCGAAAATTTAATGAACCAAGAAATCAAAGCAATTACAATAATACATTGACCTCGTGATTACACAAACACGAATCTCACTTGATTGGTTGAACGCAACGAGAAATCATCCCGATAAGTTCGATAATTTTTGAAGTATAAAGCCTTCAGAGAAAATTTCATTAATTTAATCTCAAAAGTGTTTTTTTTTTTAAACAATGTAGAAAAATAAATCTATTTATACTAAAAACCTAAAATAAAGTTTAAATGAAATAAAATTCTAGAATACCTAGAAATATAGTAAAACTAGAAATAGAATCCTAAAATATCTAAATTACCAAAAATAAGAAATTGAATTAAAATAAAACTTCTCCAGATCACATCATATAATGTGTGACATAAAAATTTGTTAATTTTGCGTGATCGATAATTTAATAATTTGTAACTGTATAATAAATTGTGACTTATAATATTTGTAATCTGTTATTGATATATAAATTGTGATTCATAAATTTTTTATTCGTGACCGATGAACAAATTATAACCTATAAAATTTTTTAATTGTGACATAAAAATTTTGATTTGTGACCGGAAAATAATATGTAACTAATTAAATCATTAATTTGTGATTAAATTGTATAAATATGTGACCTTAATAATTAATTAATAAAAACCATAAATAAATTTTAATAAATATCGAATTTTTGAAATTTGAAATCCTTTTTTTCTTATTTTTGAAATAGGTGATACTTAACTTCTTAGTTTTAAATTTTTCCCATATAATAATCAAACTTGACCTCCATGTATCAATTAATGCCAAATTTGTCCCCACCCGATCCAAGTTCACAGCTGTCAATAAATATAAAAAGAAGATGAATAATTCAAGATTATTTACAAAAATATATTCAACTTAAATTCTAATTTATTTTTGCTCTATTTTCGCTACAACTTAGTGGAGTGCCACTATGAAGAAGAATCCATTGACACAATCCCTGAAGAAAAGGGATAAATTTTCACCTGTTAATTAATTTACAGAATGAGAATAAATTATTTACCTTTTAATTTTGCCACAAAAAATGATGTGATTGTTTCTAAGATTAGCTTAAATTTAGGTTAGAAGTTTCATAAAATGTCCTTTTCAAGAAACGATTTCTTGTCAACGTTTCCTCAATTTTGTGCCTTGTTGGCCACCAATTATTCTACCATATATTCGTCGTTTGATGAGTCGAGGGTAAATTTCAGTTGCGATAGTTATACTTTAACTCTAGAGTCAATCAAGTAATCATACTTTAATTTTAGTAAATTGAATAGTTACACTTTAAGTCGATTTTAATTAAATTAAATTAGTCTAATTTAACTAAAGAACATCGATGACATGATCGTAAATCAATGGACATGTGGTTATTAGTTATTGACATGAAATAAATACAATTTCAGGTAAATAAATGATAATTATCATATATTGATTGCCATGTTATTGATTTTTATTTCTTTAGAGGGATGAAATAGATCGAACAATTTATCTTCAAGAGTTACAACTTATTAATAATTTTTTTATTATTTATTTTTATTAAACTAACTTATAAGTCAACGAGATAGTTGGAACAAATATCTATATAATAAACTTTAGGTGTCCCGGGAAATGGACGTTAGTTTAAAGTGGGAAATTTGAATGGACTGGCTGGCACACACAACTCGCATTCTCTTTCTCTCTGTCTCTCACACACACAAAATCACACACTTATAGGGGGAGAGAGAGAATCTATCCTTAACGAACGTATAACCTATACATGCAAAGTTTTGTCTCTATATTTCTGGAATAATTATTTGGGTGTGGTGGTTTCGAACTTCGAAGAAGGGAAAATTGGGAATGGGAGCGAGTGAATAATGGACGGCCACTGATTATAATATATTTGGACCGCAATTTGTGAGAATAATACGGGGATTTAAAACTCCTCTGTTCTTTTTCTAAGCCCTGCATTTTGGTTGGTAATCTTTCTTCTCCTTTTCCTCTCTTTCTTTTTCTCTCTTCCTCTTATGAATCAATCGGATTTCAACTATCTGTTGTGTAATGAGTCTTTTTCTTTTTAACAATATCAATGTTATGATATAATTCTTGATGTTATGATATCGTGATTTCAAATTATATGTGTTTTCGGACCCATTTTTGCATTGATCTCTTCTTTTGATATGTTCATTGCAGCAATGTAGGTTTTGATTATTATCTATAAGAATCGATTTATGTTTATTTTTAGGAGGTTTCCTCGCATTGGTAATGAATTTGTTTCATATTTTTCTATGTTATTAATTGGGAACATACCAGATAACCAAATTTTGAGATATTATGAAAATATTTGCAGCACAAAGGGGCTTTCAGTATTTCTGGTGTCTTTCAGGGGTAACAATGAATTTCATATGTATATTTAACCAATGTATGCATAGATACCTACGTATGCGTGTACAAATTGTGTTTATTCGAATATGAATATCTATGTATCGATGTAATTAGTTTTATTATTTCAAGCCAATATTAGAGTATATTTGGCCAATTTTCTTATTGTATAATGTGATGTTAATATGTGCCTTTTGATTTATAGTACACGTGATTATGTGCCTTTTGATTTATAGTACACGTGATTATCTAACTTATCTCTTGCCAAAGGTGTAGGCATTTAGGCAAGTTTTCGGCTCCTGTGATTGGGTGAATATTGTGTCTCAAGTTATCAAACTTGTGAACTGCAATCATGAGTGACAAGAAGTCGGGACCTCTCGAACACCCTGCCAGGCCAAGTAAGCGTATTTACTTCCTAGTTGCTATTATTTTCTTATCATTTACACTAAATTCATAAATTCACGATTAAGTTCAATTTTATTGTTATTTTATTTTTTTTCTAATCTTATCTGTAAGAATTCACCAATTTACTCGGTTGAAAAGCTTTATGTGATGGCTGATCCATTGGGCCACACACATAGCAGGAACTGCAAAAATATATTGCTGGTAATAATCAGAAGTTACAAAACAAATTAGTATAGAAAGAATTTGAAGTCTGGTTAATCTTCCTTTCTAGAAAATTTTCTGTTTGAAATCTTAATGGGATTGCTTGAATTTGATCTTCATGGTCAAGATTATCATAATATAGTAAAAGATCTTACATCTGGACAATGTTACAGATATTACATTTGTTTGCATTAAATGTTGTAAAAGAACATAGACAAATACCAGTTTTGGGTTCTTAGATAAACAACATGGACTTTGTGTGATTAAGAATCCCATTTTGCAAAATATATTCAGGTATCGAGAAATTTGATATTGAGAACTCTGAGGATGAGAGGAAGACAAGGATCGGGTCTCTTAGGAAGGTGGCAATTAGTGCCTCCTCGAAGTTCAGGCATTCTTTGACTAAAAAGGGCCGTCGAAACAGTAGAGTTATGTCTGTTGAGATTGTGGATGAGCATGCTGATGAGGAATTTAAGGCTGTGGATGCCTTACGCCAAGCACTTATCCTGGAAGAACTACTACCTGCAAAATACGATGACTATCACATGATGCTAAGGTAACTTTCTACTTTGTTCTGTATTTGTAAAATGCTAAACTTTATTTATTATGATGTAAAACTGGTTTGCAACTAGAAATTGGACTTCCTTGATTCCAAGATGGATTGAACAAACACCCAAACGGTGTTTCAGAACTCATGTAATATTGTTAAATTGCGAAGAATTTCATCTCCATTTCTTGCTGTTCTGGTATTGTGGATGTACGAGAGTTGTGAGGGGAATCCTTAGAGTTTGATTTAAATGATTGTAAATTTCCATTATCCAGTGGGTTCTGTACACTTTAAGATGTTAAGACCAAATCTTCACATATAGTTGGTTATTCTTCAGCTGAATTCTTGTGTGTCAGCTCTTCAGATTCTGATCAGGAATTATTGTCGTCTACTATTGATTGTATATTTTCATATTCTGTTAATCTGTTTGAGAAACTGAACTCATCTTCCTTCAGCTAGTAAAAATAATAAATCAATCCATTTTTACATCATTGCCACATTAATTTGGAAAAGTTGTTCATTATTTGTACAATTCAAGGTCTTTTCAAAAACTGTCATATTAATTTCGACATATATGTTGTTATTTGTATAATTGGAGAACTGTCCGATGGTGAATGATACAAAAAATTTCTTGTCGCTAACATGAGATCAAGGATTTAAAGAAATAAGAATAACTGTTGGTTTTGAATTGCTTTCATGTGATGGTATGGTACAGGTTCTTGAAGGCCAGGAAATTTGATATTGAGAAAACAAAGCAAATGTGGGCTGATATGATTCACTGGAGGAAGGAATTCAGTGCTGATACAATTATGGAGGTATTTATGATACTAATATGCAGCAGGCTGTTTTATTTGGAAAGGCGTATCAATTGTTCAGAAGCTCGTAAAACTATTATGCATCTGATTTTTCATTTGTTTCATCTTAAATTCTTGTTAGGATTTCGATTTCAAGGAGAGAGATGAGGTCCTTAAATATTATCCACAAGGGCATCACGGAGTTGACAAGGACGGCAGACCTGTTTACATTGAAAGACTTGGGCAGGTTGATTCCACCAAGCTCATGCAAGTCACAACATTGGACCGTTATCTTAAGTACCATGTCCTGGAGTTCGAGAGGACCTTTATCGATAAGTTCCCAGCCTGCTCTATTGCAGCAAAAAGACACATTGACCAGAGCACAACCATTTTGGATGTACAAGGAGTGGTATGTAGCAATTTTCTTATACTTCACATTTGTTAGTTTTCCATAGCCGAATGTATAGACAGTCAAGAAAGGCAAAATTATTTTTCCAATTTCGACTTTCAGACAATATGACTGGTAAATCTGGCCTTTTCGTCAATCATTTTTTTTAGAAGAAATTTAATGGCCACACTCTGGAACAATAGAATCCATTCAAAGCTCTTGTAACAAATACTGTAAGAATGGACTTAATTTTGTCATTAATTTTGTTCAGGGACTGAAGCAATTCAACAAAGCTGCTAGGGAACTCATTCAGCGTCTTCAGAAGATTGATGGTGATAACTATCCCGAGGTACTTATTTTGCTTTCCCTTTTATCACCTAAACTTGTATTTCTTTCTTGGTTTTTCATTCAAGTGTAGATTTGAAATTTACTTTTTCACTAGAATGCTTGTTTTGTTGTAGACCCTCTGCCGCATGTACATCATCAATGCGGGATCTGGATTTAGGCTATTGTGGAATACCGTCAAGTCATTCCTTGACCCGAAGACCACTGCCAAGATCCATGTAAGTTAAATTCGGCTTACCTGAAGTTTTAACTATCTTTTTGGAATCAAATCAACAAGTTACAATGTTTCTTTTACCAGGTTTTGGGCAACAAATACCAGAGCAAGCTGCTTGAGATCATTGATGCTAGGTAATTTTGTTAATAAATTATGTACTTTTTGGTATTGGATTTACACTTATAATTTGATGTTAGTTCCCTTAAACAACTGCAATTACCAAATAATCTCTTCTTTCCACAACTGATTCACAGCATTGTGCTTTCTTTCTTTTTTATTTTCTCTTGTTTTCTCTTTTTTTTTTTTAATTTATTTTTTATTTTAATCTTATATTAGTGAGCTACCCGAGTTCCTGGGAGGTACATGCACCTGTGCAGATAAAGGTGGTTGCATGCGTTCGGATAAGGGCCCTTGGAATGATTCAGAAATTATGAAGGTCCTCTATTTTCATTTTATCTTTTTAAGCTTTATTTCAAATTCCTTTCTTTGTTGGCTTCTGATTTATATTTCTGATTATTAACGGAAAATGCTTAAAAGTCAATGTTAATCTGATTATGCAGATGGTACGTAATGGTGAGCACAAATGCTCGAACAAAGTGCTTATTTCATCTGTGGACGAGAAAACAATTTCTGAGGATGAGAATGCCAAGGTACTCAGTCTTTCAATTTTAACCTTGTTCTCTGCTTTCACGGTCGGCTTTATGTTACCTTTGAAATATTCAAATCAGAAGTCAATTCTGAGGCGTGCCTCTCCATGAAATTGGATTTACAATGCTTGTATGTTTAGACCTTATGGTGTCATATCACCCTACTTTTTTACATGTAGAATGTGAAGAAAAACAGCTCTTTCAACAGGGGAACAGATTCTCCGGAGGTTTCTAGGGAACATCTTTTTCCTGTTCAAGAGGAAGTAAGTTGTGATAATTCTCAACTTGTGTTGGCATTACAATCATAGTATATCTAGTTAGTCCAAATGACATAGGTAGAAAGTTTTAAACTTCTTTTCTAGAACTCCGTAGTTTCAATGGTATACAATATATTCAGGATTGTTTAGACTACAGCTGCCCGACTAATCTCGATTTATCTGCAGGCAACCAAAAAGCCCAGATCATATGAGTCTGATCTGTATGTCCGAGTTGTAGACAAGGCTGTTGATTCAAATTGGAAGAAAGCAGCAACAGGTGAGAGATTTGCCCTTTATAGTACATACCTTAACGAATTTTTAGAATTCATAGATGGTCTTCGACTTTTGGTTAAGTACAAATGCAAATATAAATTTTTATAATTCTTTAGAGCAAGTTTGTCTAAGGATAAAAGTTACTCTCAGTAACTTTTTGTGCCATGCATCGACCTTTTTTAGAAGTTACTTTCATTTGAGGACTTTTACTTCCAAAACTTTTTTCAAAAGTTAAGGTCTTTACTCACTTTCCAAATTAGCACATTTTCTTATTACTTAAAGCTGCAGCTTATTTCCCCGCCCACAATACTTGCAAGCCTTACGAAGGAGTTGGAAATCATCTCTTTACTGGAGTTATGACCTTAGTTATGGGAGTAGTTACTATGGTGCGCATGACACGTAACATGCCAAAGAAACTCACAGATGCCACCCTCTATTCTTCTTCCATGCACGGTGCTGATGATATGGTCAAAGGTCAGTCTAATGGCTACGGATTGCCCGTTCCAGCCATTTCGAGCGCTGATTACTTTGCCATGATGAAACGCATGAATGAGCTCGAAGAGAAGGTGACTGTTCTTAGCAAGAAACCAACTACTATGCCACCTGAGAAAGAGGAAATGTTAAATGCCGCATTGAATCGTGTTTGTACGCTGGAACAAGAGCTCTCAGCTACAAGAAAGGTATGGATTGGTTCTCCTGATAATCATTTTACATATTTTTATTTAACAGATTCAAAAGGCTTATTTATAAGTAAATAAAACATAAAATGATTTTGTTGATTAGAACTCGAAATATATGTGGGTTACTTATTTTGAAAATAAAAATTTCTTTCAGCATTAAGAACTTTATTTCCACTTTTAAATAAGCACAACGAACGTGCTCCAAATCAAGAGTTGTCAAAAAATCAAGAATGCTCGAATCTCTGTAGACAAAGATTCTTTACAACTATTATCGAATTTGCAGGCTCTTGAAGATGCTATTGTACGACAAGGGGAACTCCTAGCCTACGTTGAGAAGAAGACGAAGAAGAAGAAGAAGTTCTTTGCTTTCTAAATGCAGAGATTTCCAAGACACCAATTGCGTGATCTCTATACCAACATTTGATTTGCCATTAATATTTGAAGCCTTTTGTATATTGAATTTTTTTCTCTTGTAATAGAGTAATCTTTGTGTGTTTATTGCCATTGTTTTTAAGCTTTAACTGTGACTTAAATGTGTTCATCCATGTATGAAGACTCAGTGTCCTTAATTATACTATAATTTGCATCTAAGTTCAATTGAATTCCTGGTGTAGTCTTCAGCTTTTCTTTAGTGTGGAAGCAGGTCTATAGCGATAAAGATTTGCAATGAATATCTATAATTTCGAACATCAGTCAAAAATATCTCAAAATAATCAAATTTAAACCACACTTCAGAGTTCCTCTCAACATTTTGTGTAAAGAAATCTTCAAGATTCTCCACATGGTTAACGACAGTCACATCAAATACAACCGCATACATTCTCAACCCCCATGTTCATCGTATTAGACAAGTCCTTACCAGCAAAACTTCTTTTTCTGTGAAACAAAGAAGCAGAAATATTAGCAACAGACATGAGAGATTTGAGTTTTAAAGCACGTCCTCCAAAGGAAAGGTAACAGTAGTTTTGGAAAGTCAGCTCTCTTATGAAAAAAGCGAGTTTGAACTGAAAATCTCCTAAAGAACTACATGAATTTATACTCGTATTTTTCATTTCAAGAAGACAGGAACAAAGATCGAATTAAATCACCTGCAACTTGGATTCTTCTTGACTGTCTATATATGCAAGCAGCTCCTCTTGCCTCATCAAAGCCTCATGCAGAGCCTGCTCAGCAGAAACACAATTTATCATCAATTTAGTTACCTAAAAATAAGTGGTCTATCTTATCCAGACTCAATAATATTTGTCCCCCACACAAATGTACACGTGATAACCGTGTCAAAAAGTTTTCCTCGGCCACGTGGAACCAAATTGTACCCAATGTTGCAAATTATAAAAATACCTTTTTGGTGGCGATTAACTCAGCTTCTAGGGCATCAACTCGGCAAACGGCAGCGTTGAGCAGTTCTTCTTTCTCGTGAGGCATCTGTGATGGCTTTTCTTGAAGAGTATTCACCTTCTCTTCAAGCTCTCCCAACCTCTTTAAAACAGAAGATAGAAGTTCAGCTTCTGTAAATTGTGGAGTTGGTGAAGGTGGTCGAAACTCTTCCTTTGTACTCGTGTCTAAGGAAAATTCTTGAATTGTTTGCTTGTGATGCGATGATGCATCAGGCAATTTCTTGGTGCCACGGCATGATAGTGTACGGAAGAACACAAAAAGGGTCATGAAGAAGGCCAGAAGAGCTGCCAATATGCGAGCAGAAAGCCCTTCTGGGGCCTTTTGAGATGTTTCTGTATTTAAAAATTCTACAAATTAAAAGTTTGTAACAAAGTCAATGTTTCATATGGGACAGACAAAACAGAAAAGGGCAAAAGGTCTCTATTGCATTCCAATTTTAAAGTTTAACACCGAGGCGTGGAGACAATTGTGAAAGTAAAATCTAGAAATATACATTACAAACTAACCTTTAGTAATAAAAGGCTTCGGAAGGGATGGTTGCTTCTTCCATCCAAAATCAACCGCCTTGTCAACCATGGGAACATACTCGTCATACCCTGACAAGTTCCCAACAGAGCTAGATGTTCCAATAGCCTTAGCCTGAGAAATGAGTTAAACATTACATGAAATTGTCAAGAGAAATAATCAATCAGTAATTGTGGGGAACTGATAATTATTAATAGTCAAAGGTATAAATAATCAATGCATATGGAGTTTTTGCAAGATAGATGGGAGTCATAACACTGTTTACATACATCATGATATTGTAAATAACAGGAACCTTAATTTTGACCAAAAATCTTATATTGAGGAGACATGGAACAGAGTCGAATCCTTATTCACTTACAAATTACAATGTATCAACAATTTTTATCTGCTTGGAATGTACTTCCATTTATATCGATGTCAACTAAAATCTCTCTTGGAACTTCGAAAGAATAAGAATGACTAAGTTCAAAATTTGCAAAATCTACAACCAAAATAATATAACTAATAATGAAGTTCACAGGCTTGGTCATACCTCCTCACGAACTGGAGTCAACCGAAGATGTGAATAATTCCTAAAGGCTTTTGGAGCAGCAATATCTTCAGCTTCAGAACCAGACTCGGCAGTAGACGTATCACTGCTTTTTACCTGCTTCAACAACCAAATAAACATAAGATTTTGCTTAAATCCGACGTGCTGAGGAGTTTCAGTGCCCAACTCATAAAGAAAAGCCACCGAGACCGTACCATCGAGTAGAGTGGATTAGCATAAATGATCTTCCCCTCGCTGTTAAGAACTTTAAAAACCTGCCTAGCACGTTGTGCTTCACCATTAAGCACCATCTGCGACACAATGAAAACAATAATCTTTTCAAAGTCAGAGAAAACTATAATAATGAAAATTATAGATATTTCATTTTATATCAATTCAATATTATTAGAACCTTTAAAATCCCTGGATTCTTCCATGGCCCTTTATCTGAATGAAGGCAGCCTCCTTGATCTGCACAGGTACACATTCCACCCAAGAATTCTGGCAACTCACTGCATGAACCCAAAATTTTAATTTCAAAAACATTAAAAAGAAAAGATATGATCCTTCCGTTAAAAGCAATATAATAAGCCATATTTTCCTCATAATAATTTCCACCCCCTTCACCTGGCATCTATTATTTCAAGCAACTTGTTCTGGTATTTGTTTCCAAGAACCTGTGAGATATTCCAAAAGTTGAGAGAGAACTATAAGTTAACCAGCCGTTCAAATGAGAAAAGTGCTGCTTCCAAATGAGAAAAGAAGAATCATTGACATACATGAATCTTAGTAGTGGTCCTGGGATCTAGAAAACCTTTTACAGTACTCCACAGTAGCCTAAAGCCTGGACCAGCATTGATGATAAACATTTGATGAAGTGTCTGCAGCAATTAAAAGGCACAATCTTTTAGTTTCTAAGGTTCCTCAAAACCTGATAGAACTGATTGAGTTAAAAAAAAATCTAAAAGTTACTTCAGGATAATTATCTCCATCTATCTTCTGGAGCTGCATAATGAGTTCCCGTGCACTCTTAGTGAAGTTTTTCAAGCCCTAAAATAAACACCAGAAATATATAGGGTAAAAAACACAACAAAAATTATTTATCAAACTAATAAAAGATGTGTGCGCACACACACAAATTGTGATAAATAAACAAACAATAGTAAAACAGCATGTAACATACCACACCGTGGACATCCAAAATCGTCGTGCTTGAATCAATATGTCTTTTGGCAGCAATTCTACAAGCCGGGAACTTAATGGCAAAGCATTTCTCAAACTCCCTGACATGGTACTTTATGTAACGGTCCATCGTTGTAACTTGCATAAGTTTGTTGGGATGGACTTCTCCCAGTCTTTCAATGTATACAGGCCTTCCCTCTTTATCAACTCCATGATAACCATGGGGATAATAATTCAAAACTTCATTCAACTCTTTAAATTCAAAATCCTGAAGAAGACAAGAATTGATTAAAAAATTTGACCAAAGCAGCAAAGCTAAAACTGGGCGACAGAAGAGTAAAACCCAAAGATTGTCAAGCAATTTGGCTTTGTTACTTCAGTGAACATCTTGGATCTAATTACCTCCATAATTGTGTCGGTCCCAAAATCTTTCCTCCACTGAATCATATCGGCCCACATGCGCTTCGCTTTTTCAATATCAAATTTCCTTGCTTTCAAAAACCTGCAAGCAATTCCTTAAGCAGCCTCTAAAACATAAAAATAAAAATAAAAGGAATTGTTGCTGAATCAGAAGGCAAGAAAGGCAAATCTTTTTGTCCACCACGAATTCAAAACCATTATTACAGAATTTTGCATTCCAGAATATGCTGATGATTTTATGTTTACACGTTTCATAGTCAGTTTGTCCATTAACTTTTTGAAGAATTACTGGAAGTTTACAAGAGATATTCATCTTGCAGTTATGATCTTTACTTTTCCTCTAGTTACAGGAAACACAAAACATATCAGAAAATACAAAAAGCTATTCTTAAACCTGAGGCACCAACTATACCATATTGGCATTGCGCAAAAAAAAAAATCCCACTAATCGATGAAGGGAGGCTCATGTAATATTCTGAATTTAAATGTGGCCGGTAAATCAGGCATGTGGTCGTATTTAATTACCTCATTAGTAATGGGATGAGTGAATACCATGTAAAGTATATGACATATCCACAATGTATTTATGGCTTCCCTCAATAAAAGTGTGAATTTAACTATAGGTAGGAACAGCAAAGGAATATTAACCTCAACATGATATGATAATCATCAAGCTTGTCTGGCAATAACTCATCCAATATCAAACCTTGTCGAAATGATTCGACAGCTTGCAGCTCCTCAGCATCCCGGATATCCTCAATTGAAACAGCGCTGACTCGGCCATTGCTCTTTCTTCTATTGCCCTTCTTCTTCTTGAGAGAATGCTTGAACTTTGTTGAGGCATTCAGTGCTTTCTTCTTCAGGGAACCAATCTTTGTCCTTCTTTCATCCTCAGAATTCTCAAAATCAGATTTTCTTTCTCTTCTCTCATCAGCACCTGAAGACCCCTCAAAGCCTGTTCCATAAAAAACATGAATACAAGAAAGTCATTTTAAGAAACAGAAATTCACTGAATCATTTGTACTACATTCTACTCGGAGTTACCAAAAACACCAAAAAACCCATAGCAAATCATGAGTAGGGACAACTGTTCTGAAATTCGGTACACTAGCAACTTGGAACATTAAATTTGGAGATCCAATTGTTCACTGGCATAGCTTCCCTTCCTTGGACATTTATGAATTAAATACGTTGAAATGAAAGCTAGTCAACAAAATAGCATTTGTAAGAAGTTTGATAGCACTCAATTTTATCAGTGGTTTATACACTATTATAAGCTTCCATTACATTGACATTTTAATCGTCAACAATTATTGGTTAAGGTATATAACTAACCCCAGCATTCCATGTTTTCACAATGTAGTGGACTGTGATCCCAATCTCGCCAAGTGGCGTTGATTCTGCATTGTCAAGACTAATCTGTCTAATCTTAATATCTCACTACCAACCATCTTGGCCCTTGATGACTGAACCAATCTTATATTCATGACTATATAAAAGACCAGCTATCTCCAGGTTTTTCAAATTGCCCAACTGATAGTTTCACCTATGCAATAAAATGGCTAAAATACATATCAGGATTTAAATTTAACCAATTACTGAAACAAGGGTCTGGCTGTCGAAACCTCCTCGAAATTCAATAGTAGCAACGACATTCAAAACTACGACCACAATAGCATTTCCATCAGGGCGAACAACAACAGAGAACAGAAAAATCTAAAGACCCTGTAGAAATATACAATCTTCCAGCTCTGGCCAACAGAATGTACAAGAAAACATCAAAAGGGAAAAGGGGGATTCGAGAACTGAATTCCCATTTCATATTTCTAAAGTACCTCTGGAAATATAAATAAAAGCTCCACTGAAAAAACAATGCCCCGTGATTTTGCACCCTAAAACTTCTTTCTGATAAAGAATAGAAAGCATAATGAAGTACATTATTATTTGCCCAAAATCTTTTTCTTTTTTCTTGGTTTCTTTTGAAAGCCTATGGTTACCATAAATCATGCGAAAAAGAAAGTTAAATTGGTCAAAAAAGTGCCGAGAAGCATAATACACGTCCAATTATAGGGATCACGCACACATTGAGTAAACACTAAAAAGCCTAGTTTTATCGAATTCAACAAAATCACAATCAATTAGCCGTCAATGCAGTTCAAAAGCAACAAAGAAATCAATTACAACAGGAAATTTCACTTACAAGGTCTCGCAAACCGATCCAAGGGTCCAGACATCGCTAATTCTCGATCGTCAAAACCCTCTCAAAATCTTGAGGATTGATCTATCAATCAAACACAATCAATTTGCTGTACAATCAGTAATTTTAAAACCTCGAGTTAATTCAGATCGAAAATTCAATTATTTTCTTCAAATATAAACCTTGAACTTGTCAAGAAGTTAGTTGAACGGTGATAAGCTGAAATAGAACAAAAAGAAATAGGAGGAACAAATTCCAGGTAAAAAGTAGGAAAGAGAGAAATGGATATTATTGAAAGGTAATTAGTACAAATCTCCTTATTTTTAATGTTATCAGGTAAAATGTCATTATCTTTTATTTTTTTGTCATTTTCACCTTACTTTCACATTTTATTGAAAAAATCATCATTTTTATCAAATTTCTCATTTTATAAAAATAACCCCAATTTAAATAAAACAATAAAAAAAAAAGTTAAAGAATAAATTATAATCATACTTTCAAATTTTTTTAAAAAGTATAAATGAGTTCAAATAAATTATTAAAAGGATAATTTGAGCAAAACGTCCATATCTTTTAATATTATTGTACAAAACGTCAATACCTTTTATTTTTTGACATTTTCACCCTTATTTTATATTTCATTTTGAAAATCGTTATTTTCATCCATTTTTTCAATTAAAAGCTATAAAATGATAAATATGCACTCCTCTTTAAATAAATAAAAAAAGAAAAGATAAATAACAAATTGTAATTATATTCCCAAATTTTTCAAAAAAGTATAAATAAATTTCAAATAAATAATTAAAAATAAAATGATTTTTATTTTTTAAGAGAAGGGTATATTGTCATTTTACAGCTTTTAATTAAGAAAATTGATAAAAATAATGATTTTCGCCATGAAATATAAAAATAAGGTTGAAAATGTCAAAAAATGAAATGTATGGACTTTTGTATAATAATAATGAAAGATAAGGACGTTTTGTGCTATATACCCCTTTAATAATTTATATGGACTCATTTGTAATTTTTTTAAAAGTTTTAGAGTATGATTGCAATATATTCTTTAACTTTTCTTTTTTATTATTTTATTTAAATAGGATGTATATTTGTCATTTTACACGAAAAATTTGATGAAAATGATGGTTTCCACAATAAATGATGAAAGTAAGGGTGAAAATGGCAAAAAATAAAAGGTAAGGACGTTTTGCACAATAATATTGAAAGTTAATGACATATTATGCTAATTACCCTCTATTGAAATAAATAAAATTACATAAACCGAAATAAATAAATAAGTGTACTTATCACTGGATTAGTTGAGTGTCGACGGCTTTGGATAGTGAGTTGTGGATGAGGTTATTGAGTAGTGGGACCTAGAGGATAGGAGGACACGTGTCAGGAGGATCACCTTGTGCGGCGACAACGAGACTCGAATAGGAATTTGTCTACAGTGGTTGAATGAATAGTGATTGAGTAATGATTTAGTTTCTAGGCCGTGATTTTGAATTGTATTGTGCTACAAACAAATCGTGGGTTTGTATTTTGTATGACAATGAGTTGGGACAGGTCGAGTTAATAATGGGACATGATTAGGCACGTGAGTGTTTTCCTCTAGAGGGAAAATCAACTAGGTTACACAGCAAACCTAAGATATTATTATGACAAAGGATGACCAAAATTCAGAACTCCGATCTTCTCTACAAGTAAAATTGTTGTGAGCAGTCTAAACTTTGATCGTTATTTCTCCCAATTATGTTCTAGATGACGTCCACTACCTCGAAGTCAAAAGTAGCGCAAAAGCCTGAACTAAATGCATTTTGAAATAGTAAATTGATGCAGAATGTTTGGTTAAAAAATAATGAAAATTTTTATATTTGTATGTAATATTATTTTATTGAAAAATGTGTTATTGAAAAGAAGAAAAAAAAATATGTTTTAAAAATGATGGAGATCAAACAAGGGCTAAGATTATGCCCACAAAAATATTTTATTAATTAGATTATTCAATTTCTGATTAATAAGTATTGTAATCACTATAATTATGTGATTAAAATACGTAATAACGATAAATATGTGAATAAAACTAATGTTTAATTTTTATTGAAAAACAATAAGAACTTTTTAATAAGGTTCGACGAATAGAACTTTAGGCCGTATCCAATCCTGCACAAAAATTTGAGATAAGTTTCATATTAATTTGCAAATAATCTTGCACTAAATAGAAAATATTCTTAAACCTATTACATCAAAAGTTGCACCAAATGAACAATGTTTAATCATTTTCTTCATTTTTTCATTCTTAACAATTTATTTATTTGAAAATTTATTTATTTATTAATTTACTATTACTAACTAAATAATTACGTTTAATTAACGAAAATATTGAATTCATTCCTCGATTATTATTGTATAACCAAAATATTATATATTGAATTCGTTAACAAAAATACTAATTAATTACATTTCATGAATAATTTTAAAATTTTTCGAATACTTTTATTTTAATTCATTCCTTGAATGTTATTGATTATATGTGTTGACCTCGAGAATTGGACCCTCCACGTGGCCAACGGATAGTTACTCCACGTAATCCTCCCTGCGGATAACAATGCACGATCAGAAGCACACAGTCGGAATCAGCGATGGTGGTGGTGGCCGTATACACTCCGATGGTCAAGTCAGCGTTGAATGATCAGAACAGTGCTCAAGTTGTGCAAGAGAGTGGGGAGAAGAATATATATTTCTTAGTATGGAGGGCTAAATTGTGTGTCATTACCTTTGTCTCTTGCCAAACCTTGGGTATTTATAGACATAGAGCACCGTTGGATATGGAACACATGTATGCATCTGACGGTGTGAGGCGTCCGCTCATAGACGTCAATCAACCGCATGTAGAGTGGACGGGCAATTAGTTCTTCTGAGTTGAGTTGACATAAAGTCGATATATCACATCAACTAGATCTATGGAGATGTCACATCAATTGATCCTTGGAAGCAGAGGAGATGTTGACAGATATCTTTTTGACAGTGGCGACAGAGAGATTTGGTAAAGGGGTACCTCGGAGTGCCCAACGCTTTGAAGTTGAGGGACACTTCGGTTACTTCGGTGGATCCGCTCTTCACCTTACAGCATGTCACGTTGAGGTCGTCGGGAATGGGCATTACTTCGGAACCACTTCGGATGGATACCTGTCACTTCGGAGAGTGGTGTGACTGTTGTTCCGAAGTGGTTGCTTAGGGATGTAACAGTGGTTCCCCAAGTTCAGGCACGAATATTTATATTATGGGTGGACTTGTTTTCCCGATTGTGTATGCTGGCCTTAGAGTAAGTATTGTGGATTCTGATAGAGTGTGAAAGGGTGAAGTGAGCAAATGTGCCGAACACATGTTGGCCGAGGCAGAGTGGTAGCCGAGGAGATCTGGGCAGGGCACCCTCTCGTTTGGTCGTTTCGTGATGAGCCTTCAGTGTTCCACCAAGTCGTATGAGTTGTGATTCCGCTGGGGAGAGGAGCTCATCTGCTAGCGTTGTGTTGACCCAAATGGGAGACGCGTTGGAGGATGGCTAGAGCTTTGTAAAGTTTAAGAGGGAGCGCAGCAACCAAGGTGATGACCTATAGGGATTTGCGTCAGGTGCGTCGAAGCTTGTTAAGCTGGTTTAAGGGCTCAACTTTCCACCGATGCGCTGACCCACAGGGGACGATACGTTGAGAGATGGCTAAAACTTTGTAAAGCTTAGGAGAGAAGGCAACGTCCGAGGCGATGACCCACAGGGATCTCCACGTCAGGTACGTTGAAGCTTTGTAAAGCTAGGGAAGAGCTTATCTGCTACCGATGAGCTGACCCATAGTGGACGACCCGTTGAGAGATGACTAAAGCTTTGTAAAGTTTAGGAGGGAACGCAACGTCCAAGGCGATGACCCACATGGATCTCCGCGCTAGGTGGATCGAAGCTTAATAAAGTTGGGTGAAGAGCTCATCTGCTACTGATGCGCTGACCTACAAGGGACGACGCGTTGGGAGATGACTAAAGCTTTGTAAAGCTTAGGAGGGAACGCAACGTCCGAGGCGATGGCCCGCTGGGATCTCCGTGTCAGGTGCGTTGAATCTTTGTAAAGCTAGGTGAAGAGCTCATCTGCTATCGATGCGTTAACCCACAGGGGATGACGTGTTGGGAGATGGCTAAAGCTTTGTAAAGCTGAGAAGGGAACGAAACGTCCGAGGCGATGACCCACAGGGATCTCCGCGTCCGGTGCATCGAAACTTTGTAAAGCTAGGTGTTTCATCCGAGGCGTATTGGGATGGACTGTCTCTAACTTGAAGCGTCTTATTATGATGTTAATCGATGTGACAGCTGTCGCGTATTTCTAAGATGACAGTTGGATGTGCTGCCTGTTCCCAAAAAAGGCTGCTGCGGCAACTTATTGTTGACGGCTGTTGTTTGTTCGAGACGACGCGTTTTATGCATGCGTGAGGGGCACAGTCAGATCTTGGGCGTTGATCAAATCTGGCGTTTCATTTCAACGATCCAGATTTGTGACAAGATGAACGGCCTAGATTGACATCGTTTGAATTCAACAGTGAGGATCGTATGGGGTTTCCAATAAAAGGAGGACTTGAGCTTTTTGAGAGGTTTCCACTTTTATGCAATCAAACTCTTTGCTCTAAAAAATTTTTTAGCGATTTTCGACGGTGTTTGAAGGTTTTCCGATCTCTTTGTGATCTCCGACGAGTTTTAGGAGTTGGTCTTGGATCTTCCCGGCGTTAGGGCACCCATTCCGGTTGATTTTCGTAAGTATTCTCTAGTTTTTTCGCAATTCTCTCTGAAAAAATATGGCCTCTGAGGGTAGCGGGTCGTCCGGGAGGGAGTTGGACATAGTGAGGGTTGACCAGCCAATATTGGCGACCTCCTCGAAAATATCCGAGGCGATATTAGGAGGGGAAAACATTTAGAGACGACCTGATAGTCCAGTAGACACTTCCATACACTGGGGGCTTCGGACTACCCTTCTAAATTGAAGTCTTTCAACCTTGAGAGGCTAAGAAGGGAGTATAGGATCCCAGACGGTGTGGACCTGATTTTACCGGAGCCAGACGAGCGGGCATGTTACCCTAGGTCGAGATGTGTGGCCATTAGTGAGGCTATTCTAGGGCGGGACTTAAGTTACCCATCCATCCATTCTTTAGGTATGTCTTGAAGTCGTATGGTTTAACTCCGACCCAGTTAAACCCAAATTCTTGGAGCCAAATGGTCGGGTCGTGGATGCTTTAGAAGGAGTCGTCTTATGGGATGGAGATGTCTTTTCATGTTTTCCAAACCCTCTACATTCCTAAGGTAGCAGCGGAGGGTGATAGGACCAGGGGATGGTATTATCTGACCTCATGGGGTTCTCACACTCCATTCGTGCTCGATCTGCTGAGCTCCATTAAGGATTGGAAGAGCTCGTGGTGCTGGGCTTCTGAGAGATGGGATACAATGGAGGGGGACCTCTTGGCGCCTCTTATGGTTCCCACCAAGTATTCAACACTCAGTGAGTACTGAAGATTTTTTTGTTTTAATTACTTTAGTTCGATTGCTAACCCTGTTATTTTTTAGGCGCCCTTCCTCGGTGTGAGATTTTCGTCGAGGAGTTTGATATGATTTGCATCTTGTACCAGCTCCCCCAAAAGAGGAGGTCGTACCACGAATTGATCAGGAAGAATATTCATTTCGTTGAACACGAATTGATGGCTTCGCAAGGTAGTTTACCCGAACTAGTTGTGTTATACTGCTTTCGGAGGTCGCAACGCTAATTTTCCTTTGTTGATGCAGATGACTTTAACAAGAAGATGCCCCTCAAGCCGGACTTTAAAACAATCTAAAGGATGATGGCCGAAGCGAGGGCCCCAAAAACCTTCTCGTCGGCCTATAAACAACAGATAGAGGACCACCTGGTGTCTGCGAGCAAGAAGCTCCAGCCATTGGTCAACAAGGAGGAGTGGGAGGACCCCGAGGCCTCCCTGTTGAGGAAGGGTAAGAAGGTCGTTAGTAAAGGGGCCTTCAGTGGCCAGGCCTGTCCCATCACTTCGCCAAACAACGATCCCCACTAGGATTGCGATAAGGGAAAAAGTGGTTCCTCCCCTCGAGGCATCTGCTGCTTCTCCAGTTTTGGCCACCCCGATAGCACAAGTGCCGGGTCAGCCGAAGAGAAAGAGGGTGAGGCAGGAGAAAGAAGCGGACTTCCTCAGCACAAATGACGAGGAGCCAGTTAAGGAGGTCTTGGAGGTTCTGCTCCCGGAGATTGCCACAGTGGCACTGGTCCATAACAGGTATTGGATTGATGCGTGGAAGGATGACATGGCCTTGTGCACTGCGGAGGACTTGGTTGTAGCGATCAGTGCCAACCTCAACCAAGCCCTCAGCACTAGTATACAGCTGGAGGGTTTGGTGAAGGACCTTCGAGCCAAGAATGTGGATCTGGCTCAGCAGCTGGAGGCAAACTTTCTGCATGGAAAGGCTATGTAAGCTGCCGGGGCGAAGGCTTTAGAGGCAGAGCGTCGACGAACGGACGTAGAGGCCTAGCTGAAGAAAACCAATGCCGACGTGGAGGGGCTGAGAAAGGAGCTCCACGAAGCGAAATCCTAGATGGTAGCTCTTACTAAGCAACTTGATCACGCCATTAAGCACCATCTTTTGGCAATGGAGGCTCTGGAGGCCTCGAATAAGGAGAAGGCCGACCTAAGGCAACGGTCGAAGGCCTAGGTTGAGGAGATCGGCTCCTTCAAGGAGGAGGTAGAGGTGGCAAGGGAGTCAGCTGTGTAACATTTCATCGATCACTTCGAGGAACACCCCCTTTATGACACCTTTGCCAGCTTCTGGGCTTCGTGGAATGCCCAGGCGATGCTGGAACGCCTAAGGGAGGTTCACCCAACACTGGACATATCTGCCCTGGAAGCGGAGTTCGGTGGGCCGACTGGAGGCCGACCAGACATTACTACGGATGAGCCTGTTGAAGCTCCCCAAGCGACCGAAGCAGCCCGGGAGAAGGAGTCAGTGGTGCATGTAGATTAGGATCTTAAATGTAATGGCGCCGGCCTGTTTTGTAATCCATTCGATGTTAATGAAATTTAAATTTTTTGCAAGTGTTATTGCTTTTCCCCTTTACTTTTATGTTGAACTGTTTGTGTCGAGTAAAGGATAAGTAAATATTAAGCATCACTTACCAATAATAACCATTTGATTATAAAAGAGCTGACCCAAATAAATCACTGAAGAACTGAGACCAATTGATTAATCTATATAACATAATGAAGAACTGTGGCATTATAACTTAGAAACTTACGTTATCTTTCACTAAGACAGTTTCAGCACTTAGTAAGATAGGATGTTACAAAACTGGACAAAATGTAGATTGGTTCGAAACATACACATCACTGATAATACTTCCTCAAGTGTTCAATGTTCCACTGATGAGGCGACACCTTCCCTGCCATGTCTTCGATTTCATAAGTGTTGGGTCGGGACTCCTTACGGATGCAATAAGGACCTTCTCAATTCGGTCCAAGCACTCCGAACCCAGTTGGCTTCGATGATTGGAAGATCTTTCTGAGGACGAGGTCCCCAGACGAATTCGGTTTCTGACCTTGGAGTTGTAATAACGGGTCATCTTTCTTTGATACTTAGCCAATTTTATTCGGGACGAATCTCTCATTTCTTCAAGGAAGTGGAGTTCGTACACTCGAGCTTCATCGTTGTTGATCTCATTGAAATGTATTAGACGATAAGAGGGGATTCCCACCTCGACAGGACTCATGGCTTCGGATCCATAGATCATGAAGAAGGGTGTTTCACCTGTTGCAGTTCGACAAGTTGTTCGAATGGCCCAGAGGACATGAAAAAGCTCATTGACCCATGCCTCTTTCGAGGTGTCAAGCTTTCTTTTCAGGGTATGCTTGATAGTCTTGTTCACTGCCTCAACTTGCTCGTTGGCTTGGGGGTGATGAGGTATTGAGAAGTCCTTCCTTATGCTGAGGTCATCACACAAGTCTCGCATTTTTTTGTTATCAAATTGCCTTCCGTTGTCAGACACTAAAAAGTGGAGAATGCCAAACATGCAAATGATGTTCTTCCAGATGAACTTTATGGTGTTCGCTTCAGTGATTCTTGCTAGAGGTTTATCTTCGACCCACTTGGTGAAGTAGTCAATGGCAACGATGGTAAAAATAGCGCTTCCTCTCCCTTTTGGGAGCGAGCCAATAAAGTCAATGTCCCATTTGGCGAACGGTCACGGGCAGGTCACCACGAAGAGGCTGTGAGAAGGCTGTCTTTGAATGTCTGAGAAGCACTGACACTTGTCACATTTTTGAACAAACTGGCAAGAGCCCCTTTTCAGGGTTGGCCAGAAATAGCCTTATCGAAGTACTTTGTGGGCAAGAGTTGTTCCTCCGGAGTGGTTACCGCAGACTCCCTCATGGATCTCCCTGAGTATATACATGGCTTCTTCCCCTCCAACGCATCGGAGAAGTGGCGAGGCGAAGCCCCTTTTGTAGAGCACATCATCCTGGATAACAAAGTGAGCAGCCCTCCTCCTCAATTTCTTAGCCTCACTTTTCGAGGCTGGCAGTGATTGATCTTTAAGGTAGGCTACGATGGGTTGCATCTAAAGTGGGGTGCATTCAATCCATAGTACCTCTTCGCCTTCGGAGATGGAGGGCTTCGACAAGCGCTCAATTGGGATAATTTTTTGCAACTCTGAATCTTTGTTGCTGGCCAATTTGGACAAGGCATCAGCATGTATATTTTTAAGGCGTGGGATTTGAACCAATTCGAATCTCTCGAAGCAAGGGACTAGGTTCGGAACCAATTTCAGATACGCAACCATGCCACTGTCTTTAGCTACAAACTTTCCATTGACCTGACTTACCACAAGCTAAGAGTCGCTACTTGCTAGGAGCCTTCTGACTTGCATTTCTTTCATTAGTCTAGGCCCTGCTAGGAGGGCCTCATATTCCGTTGTGTTGTTCGAGGCTTTGAAGCTGAACTTGACTGTGCAGTTTAGCTTATGGCCCTCTGGACTTTCCAAAACGACTCCTGCCCATGAGCCAGTTTCTCCTGACGATCCATCCACAAATAGGTTCCATGTTGGAGGCTCGACGGGTTTCATTGTCGCTTCTATTTCTAGGGCTTTGGCAAACTCAGCCACATAATCTATGGGGGCTTGGCCCTTGATGGCGTTTCGGGGTCGAAACAGTAGGTCAAACTCCCTGAACTCGATTGCTCATTTTAGCAAACGGCCCAAAGCGTCTGTTCTCTGTAATACTTGTTTCAATGGAAAGTTGTTGAGCACTTCAATCGAATAGGCCTGAAAGTATGACCTCAATGATGCTGTAATAAGGGAGAGAACAAGCTTTTCCATATCTGGGTAGCGCGTCTCTGCTGTGAGTAGTGCTTTGCTAACATAGTATACCGGCAGTTGATTCGTGTTTTCCTCTCTGACAAGGACCGCGCAGACAGCTTCGTCTGAGACTGCTAAGTACAGAAGCAGGGGTTCTCGTAGTTCAGGTTTGAATAGTAGGGGTGCCTCTCCTAAGTGCTTCTTCAGCACTTGGAAGGATTCCTCACACTTACCCGCCCATTGGAATTTCTTTCCTTGCTTCAAGATTTGAAGAAGGGTAGACTCTTGTCAGTGGCCCTTGAGATGAAGTGGCTGAGTTCGGCTATCCGACCATTGAGGCTTTGGACCTCTTTTGGCTTTTGAGGTGACCTCATTTCCAGTAAGGCCCTTATCTTTTTTGGATTCGCCTCGATTCCTCTTTGGTTCACAATATACCCTAGAAATTGGCTCGAAGCTACCCCGAAGGTGCACTTGAGAGGGTTCAACTTCATTTTATACTTTCTAAGTATCTGAAAGGTCTATTCGAGGTGACTTACGTGTTCTTTCGCCTGCAGGCTTTTAACTAGCATGTTGTCTATGTAGACTTCCATATTTTTGTCAATGATCTCGGCAAACATCACATTGACTAGCCTCTGATATGTAGCTCCAATATTTTTCAATCTGCAGGGCATCACCTTATAGCAATACAACCCTCTGTGATGAACGAAGTGGATTCCTCATCAGGTCGGAACATCGGTATCTGGTTGTATCCTGAGTATGCATCCATGAAGCTCAAGAGCTCGTGTCCAGCAGTGGAGTCTACCAGTTGGTTTATCCTTGGGAGAGGGAAACTATCCTTAGGACATGCCTTATTCAGATTTGTGAAATCCACACATACCCTCCATTTCCAGCTAGCTTTCTTCATGAGGATCAGGTTGGATATCCACTTCGGATAGATGGCTTTTCTGATGAAGCCGCTGCGGCCTAATTTATCGATTTCTTTTTTGAACGCTTCATATCACTCTGAGTTGAGGGCTCGTCTTTTCTGCCGATACGGGGCGCAAGAGGAATTGATGTTAAGATGGTGGCAGTTGATCCTTGGGTCTATTCCCACCATGTTTTCGTGTTTCCATACGAAGACATCCAGGTTCCTTTTTAGGAAGTTTATCATTTCTTCTTTCATTTCGGGGGGTAGCACTTTCCCAATCCGCAAGACCTGAGTGGGGTCTTCAGGATTGGTGGAGAAAGTTTCTAATTCTTCCATTGGGGTCGCATTTGGTTCAGACTCGATGATTCGAGGATCCAACTCATCAAGAGGGTGCCCTTCTTCAGGGGCCTCTACCACGTCGACGTCTTCCTCACATTCGAAAGTATGTAATTATTCAAGGGCGTCGAGCATTTATGTATCTACGTCGGATCAGTTGGCGTCCTTTGTTAGGATGACATTAACAGTGTGGGGTTTGGATTTTCGTAGGGAGTTGAGGTAACATGCCCTCGAGCCCATTTGGTCGCGTCGAACTGTAGCAATCCCATACTCAGTTGGAAACTTCATATACAAGTAATGGATGGATGTAACTGCCCAAAGATCTTTCAAGGCAGGTCGGCCCAATACTCTATAGTAAGCTGATCTGTGGTTGACCACTAGGAACTCCATGAAGAGGTAGGCCACTAGGGGGCTGACCCCATCTTGACAGGGAGAGTAATTCACCCTCATCGGACGTTGCTTTCACCAGTAAATCCAAATAATGGGTCAGTCATGGGGATCAATTCATGTTCAATCTGCATTTTATCGAAGGTGGACCCGAACAGTATATTCACTGAGCTGCCATTGTCGACGAGCATGGGTTTGAATCCGTTTTGAGCCACTACGGCTCCTACCACTAACACATCACAATGGATGTTGTGAACTTTTTGCGCATCTTCTTGAGACAAAGTGACAAGGCCATCCTGTTGGCCTCTTGCGTCTGATTGATAATGTAGATAATCATTGGTGGATCCTTCGCTTCCCTTGTGTAGTTCCTCTGAGCGTTCCTAGTGTTGCTCTCAATGTGAGGTCCTCCAATGATTATATCAATTTCCCTAATAACCTGGCCTCCAGATAGGGCTTAATCCCTACGCCTGGACTCTGCTCTGTCCCTGGATTCTCTCCTCCGGGGTAATTGGTCTCTATATCGCCTCTCTTCCCTATTCGGAGAGGTGGATCTGCGGAGGCATTCTTCCCTCCGCGGGTTACTCCAGTTCGAGGATCGAGGAGCATCCCTATATTCACTGGTGTCGTGTCCGTAAAGTTGGTGAAAGGTACAGAACCTTGCCCTTTCCAGTGGCCTATTTGATCGCTTCTTCTTCTTTTTTCGATTGTTTGTTCCTTCGGATGGTCCTGCTTCAACACGAGCATTTTCATATGCTAGCATTGACACTGCATTTAGAGTGGCTGAAGCCAATGCCTGCCCGGATGTAAAGGCTACTGTGTAACCTGCTCGGGTCCATTGCTAGGTGACAAGGTATGCTGTTGGTCCTCGACCTACCTGCCGTTGAGGTGGAGGGAGTCCCTACGGTGCACGGTTTCGGTGGTCAATCATCTCTTCGTTGACAATCTCCACCCTCATCATTTCTACCAGTTCATCAAAGGTAGTGGGATTTTTGCTACGTATATCCCTCCATAACAAAGTGTTAATGTTGAGGCCACCTTTTAAAGCTGAAAGGGCCTATCTGTCAGTGACTTGCTCGCAATATGTGATTTCATCAGTGAATCCGGCGAGATAGCTTTTCAGTGTCTCGCCAAGAGCTTGCCTTATATCTTGTAGGCGTTGCAATGGCGCCTCTTCTTCCCTTCGTGAAAAGTATTAGTTCAGAAATACCTTCTTCAAGTCTGGCCAGCTTCTGATGCTTAGGGGTGGTAGCCTGCTATACTACACTTCTACAGCTCCGGTGAGAGTTAAATGGAAGGCCCTACATTTTAGTGCCGGTGAGGCCCCTCTGAGACTCATCTGCGTTATGTACTTAGTCAGGTGTTTCTGTGGGTCCCCATTTCCTTCATACTTTGGGATTTTAGGGGCATAAAGTTTGCAAGCACCGGGAAGTTTCGGATTTCCCTAGAGAAAGGGAGGTTGTCATCATTGTCATCAATTTCGTAGGAGTGATATGGCCCTTCAGAGCCTTCCTCCTCTGATGCATTTTGGAGAGGTGGAGCTGCCTCTTCTCGACTACCCCAATCCATTAGGTTTCTCCTTTCCCGCCTATTTCTAGGCGGAAGAGGTACTTCTTCCTGCTCTTGCCGAGCTGATCTCTGCACGGAGCGGACCCTATTGTTATTCTGCCCTATTCTGTCGAAGACACTGACAAACATTTGTGGTTCGTATTCTGGTGGGAAGTTTTCTCCTAGTGGAGGTTTTGCTGGTTGGTTCCCCTGTGCGTAGGATGTGACATCCACACCCACTTCTCTTTCAAGGGGGTGTTTCCGACGCTGACTCGAATGGCCTCGGTCAAGAGACGCAGGAATTTCTTAAGCTGGGTAAGATCCTTGAGGCATCTGGAAGCCCTGATGACCTCAAGCCTGCATGAAAAATTTATGCATTGCCACATTCTGAGCTGTAAGTCCCTCATTCCAGCAGCTATTTGAGCCATTCCTTGAGTGAGCGCTGCTATCCTGTTGCCTCGATGACGCCGGTGATGGGGTCTCCGATGCGTGACATTGGTCCTGATTATCTCTTCTTCAGAGGCATCCCTGTGCCCTTCAAAATTTGCATCTTCATTACTATAACTCATCTTATCTACCTTTTCGAGGTGTTAAGAACTTTGATTGTAAGTTGACTTTGTTCTTTTTCAAGAGCGTGCCCTTTTCAGGGTAAGTCAATGGTGTGCCGGTAGCTTTTCCCGTGAACAATGCGAAACTTTTGGACGGGAAGTTTTCCATAGACGGCGTTAATCTGTTGATCTCGAGAATTGGACCTTCCACGCGGCCAACGAATAGGTACTCCGCTTAATCCTCCCTGCGCACAACAAAGCACAGTCAAAAGCACACGGTCGGAACCAGCGGTGCTGGCGGCGACCGCATACACTCCGACGGTCAAGTCGGCATTGAATGATCGGAACAGTGCTCAAGTTGTACAAGAGAGTGGGGAGAAGAATATATATTTCTTAGTATGGAGAGCTAAATTGTGTGTGTTATTACCTTTGTCTCTTACTAAACCTTGGGTATTTATAGACATAGAGCACCGTTGGATGTGGGACACGTGCATACATCTGATGGTGTGAGGCGTCCGCTCATAGGCGTCAATCAGTTGCGT